TATTTATTTATTTATTTATTTATTTATTTGACAGACAGAGATCACAAGCAAGCAGAGAGAGGAGGAGGGGAAGCAGGCTCCCTGCCAAGCAGAGAGCCTGATGCTGGGCTCAATCCCAGGACCCTGGGATCATGACCTGAGCCAAAGGCAGAGGCTTTAAACCACTGAGCCACCCAGGCGCCCCCAAGCTAGCATCTTTATAATCCTCATTCTTAAGTCTAGTTCTGACATCTTACTAATGTCCATATTGATTAGGTCCCTAGCAGTCAGTACTCTATCTTGTTTGTTTGTTTGTTTGTTTGTTTTTAAGATTTTATTAATTTATATTCCAGAGAAAGCTCAAGATTACAAGCAGGCTCCCTGCTCTTGTGGGACTTGATGTGGAGGAGCCCAATGTGGGACTCAATCCCACAGCCCTGGGACCATGACCTGAGCTGAAGGCAGATGCTTAACCAACTGACCCACCCAGGTGTCCCTCTTGTTCTTTTTTTTTTTTTTAAGGTGAGTTTTTCCACGTTGTCATTTTGTCCAGAGAAGAATAGATGAATGGGATAACAAAATGCTAAAATGGTAACAACGACCCCAGAAAAATATACACTAACCAAATCAGAAGAGACTCAAAACTGGGGGCAGAAGAAAGGGGAAGAAAAAAAAATATTTAGGCTGGTGAATAGAACAGAGCCACATGCTTGATTTTGAATGTATTATGGTCTGTTAGAAGAAATTGCCTCCCAAAATTTTAAAGAAAGAAAAACTTAAATATATACAAAAATAAGGGTAAACATGATGAAGGGATAGATTATGACAGTAAAGATGAAAATTAAAAAGATTTTACAGGGGCGCCTGGGTGGCTCAGTGGGTTAAAGCCTCTGCCTTTGGCTCGGGGCATGACCCCAGGGTCCTGGGATGGAGCCCTGCATCAGGCTTTCTGCTCAGCAGGGAGCCTGCTTCTTCCTCTCTCTCTGCCTGCCTCTCTGCCTACTTGTGATCTGTCTGTAAAATAAATAAATAAAATCTTTTTAAAAAAAGATTTTATAAAAAGAATTGGAAAAGAAGTTGGCTGAAAAAAGAAAAAAAAGTAGAGAATGTGACCAGGCTAGAGACTAGACCAAAGCCATACACTAGATTTAAGGTATATTTTGGCCTGTTGGAAGAAACTGTATCCCAAAATTTAAAGAAAGAAAAACTTATAGGAATACAAAAAATAAGGTTAAGTACAATGAAGGGATAGACTATGACTATAAAAATGAACATTATAAAAGGTATCGATAAGGGATGCCTGGATGGCTCAGTTGGTTAAGCAACTGCGTACAGCTAGGGTCATGATCCTGGAGTCCTGGGATCGAGTCCCGTATCAGGCTCTCTACTCAGGAGGAAGTCTGCTTCTGCCTTTGACCCTCTCCCCTCTAATGCTCTCTCTCTCACTCTCTCAAGTAAATAAATAAAACGTTTTAAAAAATAAAAAGGTATTGATAAGATAAACTAGTTAAAATAGGAAAGAGGAAAATTTCAAAAAAATTGAAAAAGAGAAAAGTAAAATTTTTAAAATTTTAACTTTGACAGACTAAAGGATCATGGGGGAAAATCCATGAATTCTATGTGTTGCATTCCTGTATCTCTGGAATTCCACCATTTTCATTGATCTGTGAACTTGGTCCTGGCTGGATGTTCTTGCTGATCTTCTGGGGGAGGGCCTGTCACCGTGACTCTCAAATGTCTTTGCAGAACTGCACCGCCCTTGCCAGGGGCCAGGCTAAGCAATCTGTGCGGCTATGGTCTTGGGAGCTTTTGTTCCCTGAGCGCTTTCTGTAGAGTTCTGGCGGACAGGAAAGAAAATGGTGGCCTCCCAGTCTCCCACCTGGAGGAGCCAAGAGCTCAGGGCCCCACTCCTCAGTGCGCCCTCAGAGAAAAGCGTTCAATCCCTCCCGTCTCCCTGGTTTCTGGCCACGCTCTGAGCTCACCCGGCATGTAGCTGAGCGTTGCTGTCTCAGGCGCATAGCCCTGTTTGGAGTCTCCAGACCCAGCAGATTCCTGCCACGCCCTCCCACGCCACTCCTCCTGGAGAAGGAGGGGGTGTCCCCAGATCTGCCACTTGTGGGGTCCCTGCTCCAAGGGCAGTGGCCGAATGTGCCTTGGATCACAGTTTAAGGTAAGCCCAAGGTGAGAGCCGCCGCCTCGGCTCCGTCTCTGCAGCCGGCTTCCCCACTCTGATGCCTGAGGGCTCTGTCACACTCAGACACCCCTGGTCTTTCTGTGACCCCACGGGTCCTGAGACCACACTGTCCCCGCGAGGGCTCCGCCCCCACTTAGCCTCTGGGGCCACGTCTCTCAGTGGAGCAGACTTCTAAAAGTTCAGATTTTGTGCTCCGCTGCTCTACCACTTGCTGGGAGCTGGCCCCTCCCCCACCCCGAGGTCTATCTTCCTGTATGTCGCTTTGGCTTCACTTCACACATCCTACCTACCAGAAAGGGGTCGTTTTTCTGTTCCTAGAGTTGCTGCTCTTCTCTTCAATCTCTTGTTGAGTTTGTAGGTGTTCAGAGTGGTTGGATAACTATCCAGCTGGATCCGTCAGACCAGATGAAATTTAGGTCTCCTACTCCTCCGCCATCTTGCTCCTCCTCTGAAAAGCTCTCAGCTTTTCCCTGTTGAGAACGATACTTTCTGTGGGCTTTTCATAGATAGCTTTTATGTTATTGAATTACGTGCCCTCTCTCCCAATATTTTGAAGAGTTTTAATCAGGAAAGGATGCTGTATTTGGTCAAATGCCTTTTCTGCATTAATTGAGAGGATCATAAGGTTCTTATCTCTTCTTTTGTTAATGTGACCCATCACACTGGCAGAGGGGATTTTAATCTGACTGACGGTGAGTAGAGAATTTGTTCTTTTCCTAGGAGACATCAGCTCCTACCAGCCCCCAACAGTGGAGCACCAGAGTGGAAGTTAACCACCATCTACACTCCTGGCCCTGGCACCCACTGGCTGGGTCACCTCAGCCATGTCTTAACCTCTGAAACTGTTTACTTCCTGATACAGATGGAGTAAGAGCATCTTGTTTGCAGGGCTGCTGAGAGATCCAGGTGATTGGGCAGCTGTGAGGCATGTAGGGAGCATTCCACACCTCCTGGTTACTAATAGCTCTAGATCATCACAAACTCCTTTGTGTTGGCCCCCTCCCCCCACTGGTGCCCTGGCTCCCAGTACACTGCTGGCTGGTGCTCGTGGAGCTCAGGGAAGGATCAAATGCAGAAACCACTAAATGACTGTATCAGGGGGAAGAGCCAGGAGCAAAATGGTAAGTGAGAGAGTGGAGAAGACAGAGACAGGGAGAAAAGGTGAGGAGTCACTAAGGAGAGGCCGTTCTACAGAGACTCAGGAAGGAGGTAGGGGAGCACCAGGAGAATGAGAAATTCAGAAATGCAAACAAAGTGATTAGGGTGAGAGCTGAGGAATAACAAGAACCACGGGCTGCTGTTTCAGTGATAGTAACTGCATATCACAAAGAAAGCAAAGGAGGGGAGACTGCTTCTTGGCATGAGGTTTTGTTTGGGGGTGATGAGATGTTCTGGAGGCTGATAGTATTGGTTGCACAATAGCGAATATACTAAAACCACTAAATTATACATTTTTAATTGGGTCTATATAAACTCTATCTCCAGACAGAAAAAGGAATAATAGGAAATGCAGCGTGCTGGTCCCATCTGGGGTGTGCGCACGAGGGAGCACCGAAGATACTCGAAACATGTCCTCGGTTCTTCATGGTCATGCCAGGGGTTGATTTTCTTACTCATTAAACTGTAGAGATGTGCTTTACTTATGCTTTTTTGAATGTATAAAAATATGACAAAAATTTAAAATGTGTCCTATAAGGGAGAAAAGCATGGGAGAAAAAGAACAAACCGAGGAAGATACTGGAGCAGAAATATCTAGGAGAAGGAGATGCAGCGGGATGGGAGCCTGTGTCAGGAGATGCTCAGGCCACCCTGCAGGCTGCCCAGGCACTTTTGCCAGCCGGCCCCACCCCAAGCCCTCCCTGAGGCTGGAGGTCGGCTCTGGCTGGGGAGCTGCCAATGGCCTCAGCCTCCTGCCCCAGCTCTGACTTGGCCTTCTATGCCCAATGTTCCTCCTTTTTTATAGAAAACATACAGTCACCTCCCCCAGGATGCTTTCCCTGATATAGCCAACCAAACTGGTCCTTCGCCGCCTCATAGACCCTATTCCCTCACTCAGTATGCTGGTATCCCGACCTTGAAGGCTCAGGGTCTTTGATAATGTCTCTGTGAACTGCTCAGTGATTTTAATATGCTTGGAGTCATGCCTGCCTCCTACCTGTAAGCGTCTCAGGGCAGTGACTGAACATATGGGCCAGTCCCCCCAGCCAGACAGCTGGCTCAGCTACTTGAGCAACCAAACTGCTCTGTGAATGGGGTCGTTACACACAAAGGGAAAAACTCTCTCACAGATACAACACTCTGTCTCTAAGGCTCCCCTGCAAAAAGGATGCACAGAATATATGTGGTATAAAGAGCTCCACAACAGTCACCTGACAGAGAAATGATGAACTCTACATAGATAGCTTATCATCTGAAAATCCACTTGAAAATACATGACTTTGCTGGCTCTTCCAACAAACATAAGGACAACGAAACACTCAACACTTAGAACAGGACGCAGAGGCGCTCCGTACAGGCGGTGCTGAAGTGCTTCGTCAGCTCACGCCTGCATGCTTTCCACCAGCCTCCTTTATGCTCAGCCAGCAGCCCAAGGCCCCAGCAGACAGTTCTGTCCATCTGTCAGCACGTCCTGCTGCTCTCACGCCTGCTAGACCACAGTGACCAAGAGGGACAGGAAGGGAAGAAGCTGCCGAGGGTGGTGTGCCAGGAAAGGACACTGGTGGGAAGAGGGGAAGAGAAAGGTGCACCTGCTGTGACCTGACCAGTACCAGCTGGGGTCTCAGACGATAGCTCGGAACATCCCTCCAGACTGGGGCAGGAAGAGGTCATGGCCACCCAGAGCTCCCCTGGTGGCTTCCTCCTTCTGGGTTTCTCTGAACACCAAGGACTTGAAAGAATCCTCTTCACGGTTGTCCTCCCTTCCTACCTTCTGACTCAGGTGGGCAACACCCTCACCATTCTGCTGTCCATGCAGGACCCCAAGCTCCACTCCCCAATGTACTTTTTCCTCTCTGACCTGTCCTTCTTGGACCTCCGCTTCACCATGAGCTCCATCCTCCAGATGCTGGTCAACCTCTGGGGCCCAAAACCCATCAGCTTCCTTGGCTGCTCTGTTCAGCTCTTCATCTTTCTGTTCCTGGGGACCACTGAGTGCACCCTCCTGACAGTGATGGCCTCCGACTGCTATGTGGCCACCCGCCAGCACCCCCACTACACCACCACCATCCAGCCCTGCCGGTGCCAGCAGCTGGCATCCGTGGCCGGGGTCATCGGGCTGCTGGAGTCAGTAGTCCAGACACCACCCCCTCTCCGCCTGCCCCTCTGTCCCCATCGGCAGATGGATGACTTCGTGTGTGAGGTCCCAGCTCTAATCACATTGTCCTGTGGGAACACCACCTACAATGAGACCCAGAGGGCTGTGGCCAGCATCCTCATCCTGGTGGTGCCCCTCAGCCTCATCCTTGTCTCTTACTATGCCATTGCCCGAGCAGTGCTGAGGATTAACTCCGCGAAAGAGTGGAGGAAGATGTTTGGGACCTTCTCCTCCCATCTCACAGCGGTCACCCTCTGGTACAGCTCAGTCATTGCTGTCTACCTCCAGCCCCAGAGTTCCTATGCTCGCAGACGGGGCAAGTTCTTTGGTCTTTTCTATGCCGTGGGCACTCCAGCACTTACCCTCTCACCTGAGGAACAAGGAAGTCAAGAGAGCCTTCAGGAGGTTGCTGGGGAAGGACAGGGACACAAGGCAGAGCTCAGTGCTGGTCCATGAGCTTCCCAGTCCAGAGGAGGTCCTCATGCCGTTGGCAGGAAGCCTGGGCTCCCCACGCCCATGCCCTCCCCCACGGTGCCACGCTAGTGGATGATGGCCACGTGTGCACGTGCAGGTGTGCTTGCATGTGCCCTCCCTGTAAGGCAGGGACTGGACGTGGGCTGAGGTGGGGAAGGCACCCATATGTGAAACAGGAGAGATTTCAGATTATATCCTCTTTGATCTATTTTGTCTTTAATGGTCTTTGCCTTCACCATGATGTGCCTATACCATCTGTCCTAATGGTTTCACACCCATTTCTGATCCCTGCCACACCATTTTGCTTCTCCCTTCAGTTTTTCCCACACTTCCTTCTGTGTGTTTTGCATTGTTCGTTCATTTCATCCTCCCAAATGACAGCAGGAGGGGGAGCTGAGGCCAGGCAAGCTCTGAAACCAGACCAGGAACACAGACTTTAGATCTAAGATCTAAGCCATGCAACCTCTCTTAGGGTACTCAGATGTCCCCGCACCTTCAGCCTGGGAACAGAGCAGCCTCGGGACAGAGAGGGGAGAGTCACTTGAGTGCCTGCATTTCACACACACACACCATGGGTCACATCAGCACCTGCATTTTACCCCCCTATCCCCACCTTAGAGGTCACCTCGGCACCAGCATTGCTTTCCCTGGGGTCCATGGGACACCTTGGTGTGGACATTCCTTCCTCCAGCATCCACAGGTCACCTCAGTGTGGACATTCCTTCTCTCAGCATCCACATTCCTTCCCCTGGCATCCACAGGCCACCTTGGTGTGGACATTCCTTCCCCTGGCATCCATGGGTCACCTCAGTGTGGACATTCACTCCCCTGGTGTCCACAGGTCCCCTCAGTGTGGACATTCCTCCCCTTGGTGTCCAAGGGTCACCTCGGTCCCTCCATTCCTTCCCTCAGCACCCACAGGTCACCTTGGCTTCTCCATGCCTTCCCCCAGTGTCCACGGGTCATCTCAGTGCAGGCAATCCTTCCTCCAGCATCCATGGGTCACCTAGATTTCTCCATTCCTTCCCCAGCACCCATGAGTCACCTTGGCATGGACATTCCTTCCCCCCACACGCACGGGTCACCTAGGTGCAGGCATTTTCCTCTGGGCAGAGGGAAATCTCAGAGCCAGAAGCGCCCCACCATGGGGACTGAGCAGGAACGTGTCCACCAGGTGGACCCACAGGGCTTCTCCTGGAGGTCATCATCAGCCCCGCAGTCTGCTCAGACCGATGGAAACGGAGACATTGTCGTCACTGAGTGTGCACTGATTAGGGCACTTCAGGTACCATTTACGTGATTTACACGTATCGATGCATTTAATCCCTGTCACACCATGAGGTGGATCCTAGCTTTTTCAGATGCACAGAGTCTTTTTCATAAGACACAGAGCTAAGCAGCAGCTTCAGGTCAGTGATCTGTCCCCAGGAGGCCGACTCAAGTCTCTACGTCCTTAACCCTGTCCTTCGGTAGAAACAGTGCTTCTACTGCCCAGGTAAGAAGTCTCAGCTTCTCAGTAAACTTTGAGGAACTCATCCCAATCCAGAAACTTATCTAAACCAATTTTGCATCCAAAGGAAGTTTCCTTCCTGGGAATAAGAATTTACTGAAGGCCTCAAAGCATCCCATGTGATCAAGACGCAGTAAGTGGTTGGACGTTTTGTTATGGCTCATGGTATGTGTTCCTGGCTTAGATGCCCCAGAAGGCTTCAGACTCCCAGAAGGCAAGGGCCAAAATGTTGCGGAAAATTGGCACCCAATTAATTCTATGAATGAATGAATGAATGAATAAATCTCTCCAAAGAATGCATATGACTTTCTGGAGATCCTAATTGCACACATGCTGTCTCTCAGCTTTTCCGCAGCAATGACAACACCAAATTCTCTTTGGTGCATGCTGATGAAGTAAGAAAATGGGAAAATCCTACTTTTATTCTAACGCCAACACAAAATGGCTTTGGCGGAACATTTTCTCCCTGCATCAGCACACAACAGCAGACTTAACTCCATGTTCATCCTAAGCCTCCCAGCAAGCCACGGGCAGTAACCTTATTGTCCCCTCATCCTCCTATCAGACCACGTCCTGATCTTAATGTAGATCCCTCAGCTGATATTAATATCCTAATCTCATCCCTGCAAGTACTACTGACCCTGATCTCACTTTTCAGATCATGTCATTTCTTTTTCTCATGACCCTCCACCTTTTCTCACCCACACCTGCTCTTCAGCTCTGGTCGCACAGAAGCTTGTGGGGGACACGACAGAGCCTGACATGAAGCAGTCTGAAAGGAACTGTTTTAATGAAACCTGCCGTGTTGAATAAAGGGCTTAACACAGGCTTTAGAACTAGCATTTCAGTGTGAATTAATTCTCCATGTGACGTTATCTACTCAAAACATCAGGAGAAAATCTATGCTAAACTTAACAATAACCCTCCAAATGTGCAGGGAAGACAGAGATGGTCGGAGACAGATTTCCAGCTTATGTAACTGAGTGTGAGGCTGTTAGCCTTACGAGTCAAACCCACCAGTTATCTCACCAGCACGAGATGGGTTTACTCAAGGATTAAAAAAAAAAAAAAATGCAGGGGCGCCTGGGTGGCTCAGTGGGTTAAGCCTCTGCCTTCCGCTCAGGTCATGATCCCAGGGTCTCAGCAGGGAGCCTGCATCCCCCTCTCTCTGCCTGCCTCTCTGCCTACTTGTGATCTCTGTCTGTCAAATAAATAAATAAAGTCAAAAAAAAAAAAAGAATTGTAATCTAGGACAAACGAGATTCAGCAAAACGGTACGCAAATCCAGGAAACACAGGAGAGTTACACTTTTTTCTTCTTAAGGATTAAAGGACTGAGTGGAGAATGCTGTTAGGAACTACCAGTCCATTGCGGTAAGCTGGGGATTCGAAGTGTGGTTGCTTTTCACTGCCTGAGCGGCTCTAGGGGCAGGGCTGAGAAGGCTCCCTCCAACCTGCTGGAATAGTAGAGGGGCGTCCACCCGAGAGCACCCCTCCCTGTCTTCCTGTCAGGTCTGCTTGTCACCAGGAGAGGTGGGGCTGACAGCTCGCACTGTTGGCCTCCCAGCCCAGTTGGGGTGAGCTCTCCCATCACCCCTCACAAGAAGCCCAGAACAAAAGAACAAAGTGCGTGAGTGCCTGGGTGTGTGGGAAGCAGAGGGTTCTTCCTAAAGGTCTGAACCTCTGCAGAGGGAACAAAATACGAAATATTTGCCAATGCCTCACGTGTAAAGAGCTAAATGGTCTTGCGCATGAGTGACGCAGGAGCAGCAGGCAAGCTGAGGACAAAGCGGGCACTGGCGCCCCACCATCCCCCCACCATGGGTATGTGTGACATCCTCAGGCACTCCGGCGGCCCTAAAGGAAGAACAAATGGTTAGCTTGTAGATCACAGTCCCGCAAGATGAGTCTCCCTCAGTTTACAAATGTCTTAGTGATCCACAAGAACAAAGCATTTCTATCAATGGCTTAGCTTCCAGAAGGAAATGTGGATACAATTAAATGTCCTTGGAACCTGCAGCCCATGACAGATTCCTGAAGCAGGCAGAGTGCAATGTTTCTCCAGGAAGCTTCCTACTGTCTTCTTGTTAATGCCTTGCTAGAGGGGGAAACAACCTTAACTTGACAATGGCAAGGCCTCCCGGTATCCTGCGAGTCTTCTTTAACACAGGAAAATCCTTTTGAAACCCCCCTTTTCCTTACCTCCCCAACCCCATAGTATATAATCACCAGCCCTCCAAACCTGAAACCCCGGGACAGCAACTCTTTCTGCCCATGGGTCCTGTCCCTGTGCTTGGTACCGGCACAAAAACAGACATGTAGACCCATCATTTTGCACCAAAGATGTCTCAAGAATTCATTCTTGGCTCCAGACCACACCCCAATGAACCCCACCTATATTCCAAAATCCCATCATGAGGCTGGGACGCTGTGGGAGAAGGGTCACCCCAGGGAACCAAATGATTGAGGAGGAAAGTAGGGATTGTGAACTGGATGAAACTGGAAAAAGGGATCCCTCCCCAATGCTTGAAGCCTGTAAGATTTAGGTCGCATGAGGACAGGCACGTACCTGCCCACCTAGTAAAGCACTTGAGTTGGAAGCCTTTAAGGGATGGCCTTCAGGAACTCGGTTTTAGCTGCCTACTCAAGTAGGGACAGCAGCTTCTTCCGATGGCCTCACTGAATCATGAGTAGACACGGGTGCACAGAGCCCAGCTCGCACTGCACCCCCGGCCACTGGTGGAGCCAGGCTCCTATTCTCCTATGCAGAGTTAATCATGCACCCCTGGAGGGTACCAAAGTTCACCTCCAAAAGAGGCCTCTTTGGCATGTGGATTATTTTGATCTAAGGCCTGTTGAGGATTCAGTAACAGGCAAAGTCTCCCTTTTGCAAAGCAAAATCACATTTCTAAAAGTGCCTTCCTCCCTGAACTCCCAGAGGAATCTTCACACCTTCTGTCAATGGGGAAGTCATCAACTTAAATCTGGGTAACAAACTGAACTATGCAACCCCCCTTCACTACTCCTTCCCTGACTTCCTTCCTTAGCTGTCCTCAACCACCCTTTCCCTTTGTTTGGCCTAAAGTGGTTAAGCCCCACCAATAACTGGCCACTAGGGTCCCTCATCACTGGGGCCCCATGTGTGTGTGTGGTGTGTGTGTGTGTGTGTGTGTGTGTGTGTGAGAGAGAGAGAGAGATGCAGTGTTCAAGATGTGCTTGACCATAGCATTGAGGGTCCATATCTGGGCTTTCTACTCTGTTCCACTGGTCTATGTGTCTGTTTTTTGTGCCAGTACCATGCTGTCTTGGTGATCACAGCTGTGTAATAGAGCTGAAAGTCAGGCAACGTGATGCCCCCAGCTTCGGTTTCTTTTTCGACATTTCCTTAGCAATTCGAGGTCTTTCTGGTTCCTTACAAGTTAGGGTTGCTTGTTCCAGCTCTATGAAAAATGCTGTTGGTATTTTGATCGGGATGGCACTGGAAGTGCACATTGCTCTGGGAAACATGGACGTTTTCACTGTATGTATTCTTCCGATCCATGAGCATAGGATGCTTTTCCATCTCTTGTGTCTTCCCCCTCCATGTCTTTCATGAGACAGATCCTTTACCTCTTTGGTTAGGTTTATTCCCAGGTATCTTAGCTATTGTAAATGGAATTGATTCTCTAATTTCTCTTTCTACAGTTACATTCTTAGTGTACAGGAAAGCAACTGGTCCCTATACACAATGGAATATTCCTCAGTCGTCAGAAAGGATGAATACTCAACTTTTTTATCGACATGGATGGGACTGGAGGAGATCATGCTGAGTGAAGTAAGTAAAAGCCTGGAAAAGGGGCTCCGGGTCCCTGTGCCCAAGCACGCAGCACCTGCCCAACAGGGCTGCCCGGGGCCTGGGAGCTGATGACCGCCCAGCCCAGCACCCCATGTCGCTCTCCCACCTACCCTGTTTCTGAACTTGACCGGCTTGCACACTTCCTCTGCCTTCCCACATCGAGAACCAGCGTCCCATGAAGCCCAGAGGAGCAGCTGCCCCAGCAGTGTCCCTAGTCAAAACTCACTTATTGAGAAGACAACGAAACCAAGGCGGCATAGAGCGCCCCGAAACGCTGTTAGTGACCGAGTAGGCAGACAGGCTCTGGGCGGCCCCACACGCACTGCACACTCCCACTGGCTCCGCAGTCCGAAAGCCGGCTGAAGCGGGCCGGCCGCTGAGTCCCCACGGAACAGAGGCAGGGAGGGAGGGTGGCCGGGTGCCCGCCGCCCCCTGGGGCCTCCGCCAGCCCCTCCTCTGAGGTTCCGGACTCCTGCTTGCAAGGGAGTCCGGCTTCCCAGGCCGCAGCAGGACTTCTGATCCCGCGTAATGTACACCCAACCAAGTGCAAAGAAAGCCGGAGGCTATAATTCTGGTCTTCTCGCATCCACCGCGGGGCAGTTCTGAAGTCCATGGTTCACTTTCCGGTCAGCAGGCTTACCTACTCCACAGGCCTCTCGCGAACAGGACACGTGGGAAGAGGGGAACTCATACTACGTCCCGTCAGCCTCAGCCGGAGAGTCCCGGCCCACTGGTTTTCAAGCTCGGGTCTGGTACTTCCTCTGCACGAGGTCTGCGGAACTTCAGAAACTGGCTCCTGAACAGGCTGATGAAATGGCAGGACCCACCCAACCCCTCAGCTCTTTGCAAAAATGGGAGAATAGCTTAAGGGAAAAAAAAAAAAAAACAGTGCGGAAGAGAAAGAGGAAAGTCCAGGTGCCAAACACCCTTCTCTGCGAGGACACAAGACCTGTAAGAGCCTCGGCAAGTTTCCTTCCTTCGCTGACCACTCAGTACGTTCTTTCCTAGGACAGTAATCTCCTTCCCAGCTGCTCAGCTCTCCCAGACTTTGCAGGCTGGGAGCGCTCGGGGCTGTCCCAGGGGCCATCTCCTCCACTGTCCCCAGCAGCACTCATTTTCCTGTTGTTCTTGGTTCTTGGGAGGGAGGGTCCTCACGTCTGAGCAGCCACATGCTCAGGTCTCCCAGGAAGTGCCCCCTCCCCCATCAGAGGGCTCATTCAGCAGGAGTGACAGGGGCCAGCACAGCCGAGCACACTCCCGGGTCAAGGACAGTCGGAGCACCAGTCCTCGCACCTGGTGTGGCTGCGATGAGTGGGATGTCTGCTGTTCTCTTCACAAATGAGGCCACGGAGATCAGAGATCAAGAACTTATTCCCACGCGGTGGTGACTGACCCGGGCCAGCGGACCCCACACTTGGAAGCTCTAATGCTGTCACTCACTTGTCTCAGCCTAACCCTGTCCTGCGTGGCCCTGCGAGGCCCTCAGTAGACCAACCCAATGCCTCTTTGAACCCCTGCACCCCAGGGCCTTTTCCCTAACCTGGAGACCCCTGAGCCTCCCTCCTTGGACTGAAGCCCATTCTGCTCACAGTAAGGGACGAGCCGCTGAGTCACACGGTTCACTGGTTTATTGAGACTGGGGAGATCCCTCCCCAAGAGACGCCTTGGCAGGAAGGGGATGCCCCCTCCTGCCCGGTGATTCCCTCTGTCTCTGACAGCCATCGGGGTTGGGGGAGCCTTCCTGTGGTTGGGATTCTCACCAACTGTCTACTGGAAGCAGCTCCCCAAGCCTGCCCCCATTTCTTCTCCCTCAAGTCCCCCCAGAAAAACACAAAACCAAAGGGAGCAGCCCTGGGAAGGAGGACGGGGAGCATGGACATAGTGTGTACATGAGCACAAAGGGGGGTGTGGGTTCAAGCAGAAAGCATGTGAGGGTTTGAGCTGCGGAGAGTGCATAAGGACGTGTAGGGTGCGCGCCTCGGGCTCTGCTAGGAGGATACAATGGTCTTAAGGTGCAAAGGCAAGGTGCCCGGTTCCATGAGCACACACAGGGGGAACGACGGGGAAACACGGATGTGCGCTGGTGGGGAAGGCCTCCGCTCAGCACACGAAGGGCGCAGGGGCCCCGAGCGCAGGAGGGAGGCGAGGACAGGGCACACACGTGAGCGCCAGAGGGAGAGGCACATGTGAGCACACATGCACACGCGCGTGTGTGTTGGGAAGTGTGAGCACGCACAGGGCAGAGGCGGGAAACTCCAGGGGGACGAAGCTGGCAGAGCGGTGAAGGGTGGGCGGTGGACGGAGACCAGGCTGCGGCCAGCACTGGCGGGAGGGAAGGGGCGCGGTGCGGCGGGGCGGGGAAGCTGCAGCCGGGCACAAAGCGGACAGCGTGGCGGTCAGAACGCTGCGAGCGCGCGAGAGCGAACGCGCCGGGTCTGCAGTCCTGGGGGCCCAGCCGATCCCAGACTCACAGAGGAGGCCTTCCTACCCGCCCTCCCCAATCCCTGGGGCCCTCACTTGTACAGCAAATGAACCCGGCTCCCGTCACAGCTGAGCCTGTCAGGGGGCTCATGGGGCCCCCTGGGCAGGCCCCCCGAGGGGTCTGGGGGCGTAGAGGGGTGGCGCCGGGGGCGGAGCTGCTGACGAGACCGAAGCTGATGGCGCAGCTCGGAGACTCGCTCCTCTTTCTGCAGGAAGAGAGATTGGGAGAGGTTGGCAGAAGGGGAAGTGGGGCGGGGCCTCGCAGAGAAGAACGTGGGGTGTGAGTGGAGGACGGGGGAGGGGCGCCAGGATGGACAGCAGACGCGAACATGAGGCACCAGGAACGATGGAGGAGAGCCAAAGAGCAAAGAGGGGCATCAGGTGAGGAGGGACCAGGGGAATGAGGAGTGGGAGGCGGGGGAGGGGAGAGAGGCCCATGCCCACAGATTTGTGCCAGTGCCCCTCACCCCCCAGCGCCCCCACACCTCAGCAATGATCTTCTCCAGCTCACGGTTCTCCTTCTCCAACAGCCGGGACTTCTCCTCCTCGTTGTTGTTGGTGGATGAGCCTGTCTTCATGGTGTCCTGCGCCTCCGACTGCCACTCGCCCCGGGTGATCAGCCTGCGCATCTGGGGACCAAGGATTGCACATGAGACGGGGGAGAGGACTGTCCGTGACCAGCAGGTGGCGAGGCAAGTGGGGCCCCTCCCAAGGGCAGGAGCAGGAGGAGGCTCCCAGGAAGCAGGGCTGGACTGCGGGGACAGAAGCGGGGACCGCCTCACCTTCGGCACGAAGAGCACGACCAGAGTGATGTAGGAGGAGAACACTATGGCAAGGGACGCGAAGGCGAAGGCTGCATCCTGCTGGCTGGACAGGATCATGGTGACCGGGGCAGTGATGAGGCACAGGACCTGTGGGTGCACCCTGTTTGGGACCTCCAGGCCTTCCTCCCCCAGGAGAGAGCCCATGAGGACAGGTCCTGGGGGAACTTCCCATCGCTAAAGGCTCCAGACCCCAGGCCACCCTCAACTCCAGAGCGGGAAGAATCCCAAACCACGTCCTGCTCCAGGTCAACCCCTCCCTCAAGGCAGACGTGCTGGGATCCTCACACGGGCCCATTCAGAGTCCCTGAGCACTGAGCATCTGGGAACTCTGGCCGGAAGCTGACTCGGATTCCAGCCAGGGAACCGGAGATAAGGCATCTCACTTCCCCACTCTGCTTCCTCACCTGTGCAGGGGGACAGTAATGTCTGCTTCGTGTGCTCACAGGCAGAGCTGTAAAACAGTGTCTGTACAGGGCTTTACCCGCTGGGAAGTGCTTTACAGACCCGAGGCACTAAAAGTCTTCTTCAGACTCCCGCCCACTGATCCCAGTCCCGATTCCTCCCCAGCAGCCCTGGGGTCAACACCAGGTGTCCAAGGCTCACCGCCACGTTGTAGATGGCCATGCCCACAGCCCGGTGGTCATTGATCTTCTCCGTAGACACGCTCTTGGTCTCATAAGCAAGAAAGATACCGAGCAGCAGCAGCAGCCCCTTGTAGCCGTAGAAAATGCCTGGAGCGGAGGCCACGGCCACTTGGCAACAAGACCTCCAGGCGTCCACTCACCCCCCCCGGCCCTCCACGCCCTCCACCTACTGCTGTTCCTGCTTTGAGCTCCACAAGTGAAGGGCCTCCTTTCCGATCGGCCCCTCTGACCTAGCACACCCGTCTCTGTCTGTCCCCCCAACTTGTCCCAACGTCCCCACTTCCTCATGGGACAGAGGAGGAAGACTGCGGAGAGCCGGCGTCTGCCACACTATGTCCCCGCCCCTTACCCTCCAGGCTGAGGGCGGCTTTGCCCTTTCTGATCCTGCACCAGTGTGCAGGCCCTCCCCAGGCCTCCCCGTCCTGCTCTCACTCTAGGCAGCTGGCCAGACAGATGGGGTAAGGCGGTCCCACGGGCCACTCTGCCCCCAGCTCTGCCCCAAGCCTGCTTTACACCCCCGGCTCCTCACGGAAGAAGACCGGCTCTCCCTCCTTCCCAGGAAGGATCAGGGCAAAGCCGCCCTCCTCCCGCGGGCCCTTCGGCACCGGCCCTCCCCCGACCCGCGCACCGAGCCACGTGTTCATCTTCCTGGAGCTGCAGTGCTCCAGCTGTGGCAGGATGGACACATCGATGTCTTCCTTTGGCTCCTCCTTGGCGAAAGTCTAAGGGAGAAATGGGGCCCCAGGGAGACGCCGGTCACCCTCCCTGCCCTGCCTCTGCTCAGTCCTGATGCCCAGCTCGGCCTCCTCTTTCCCAGGTGGCCCTCAGTACAGATGCCAGGCCCCACTCTAGGCCTGGGAGTGCTTTCACGAACACCTCGGAAGGGCGTGTTCCCGGCTTTCCATGATGCCTGGGACATCTACACATCCTTCCGGGATCCCCACCTGCACTGGGCCTCCTTAGGGCATGGAGAGGCGGCTCTCCTCCTGGGTCCCCAGGCATGCAGAGGCCCCGACCCCCAGGGCCTCCTCTCAATGGGTACCTCGATGGTGCGGTGCAAGGGGTCCACGATCTGCCAGATGGCGAGAGTGAGGACGTCCATGCCCACCAGCAGGCCCACGGTGGCGTACAGCTTCCAGGGTTCCAGGGTCTGGGTGGACACAGAGCACAGGCAGGTCGGGGAACCCTCTGAACCCCGAGAGCCAAGGACCTACGGGCCAAGGTGAAGAAGCAGCTCACCTTCCTCCACTCCTTCTTCTCCTCCTTCTTCGTGAAGACCGTGTGGACCCACCAGATCTTAGTGAACATGGAGCCATAGCCCAGACTAAAGCCCAGACCCAGGAGCCAGAGGCGCGCCTAGGACAGGAGAGGGAGCAGGGCACAACTGTGCACAAAGGGGTGCATTCTGGAGCCATGGGGGTGCACACAGGGCCGGCGAGTGGGTCTCTCTGCCTCCCGCAGCTTCCTCCCACCCACCTCCTCCTCTGCCAGCAGGGCCTCCTTGCTACACCCTCCTGTGCGAATCCCCAGCCCGGGTGTGCGGTGTGGCAGTACACCCTCCACCACACAGCCCCAGCCGGCCCGGCTCCTCACCCTTTCCTCCCCCCAGGCTCCAGCCACCCCGACGGCTCACCTCATCTACTGGCTGTTCGACCCCCGCAGGCCACCTGAGTGACCACCCCCCGTGCCTCCAGCTGAGGAAGGCCCGCACATCCTTGATACTCCGGTGCCGGTCCAGCTACTCCTGAGCCAGTCCTGAGTGGCCCCCCTCTGCTGCACAGACCTCTCACACATCCCGGAGGTCAGTGTGCCCCCTCCCGCTGCCTTCTCATTTCCCTGGGGGCTGACAGCCTCTGGGGAAGTGTGCTTGTGTGTGCCAATGCCACGTGCCCAGCTGCACGGTCAGGACAGGGCCCAGGATGGATGAGTACGGACGGGCAGGGACAGGGGCTGTGTCCCACCAGCATAACAGAGCTGCACATGTGTGGCCACGGAAGTCAGCCTTTCCCACAGCCCCGGGACCTCCCACACCCCAATACCAAGTGTGCGCCTCATCCCCGCCCCCCGCCCTCTGCTCTCAGGTCCAGTCCCTGCCTCTACCCTTCCCCCAGGAGCTCACAGTTCCTGGGCTCCATCCTCAGCCCACAGCCAAGATGCCAGTGTTGAAGGGTTCTTTGTGCAGACCCTTCCTGCACCCGAGCGCCCCCCTCCATAAGGCAGGCCATGGCAACCTTGGAACTGGCTAGAGCCACCCAGCAGAAAGGTCTGGAGGGCAGGAAGAAGGGACGCAGCCCACAGAGACTGGGGGAGCAGGGACAGTGCAGGAAAGGCCGTGCCCGGCGCCTCCAGGAGCGGCTCCCAAGCGGGGAGAGCCAGGGTCCACGGCGAGTCTGCCCGCCTCCTCCTCACCTGGCAGACGAAGGGGAACTGGCTTCTCCCGATGTGGTAACCATCCAGCCCGAGGGGGAAGACAGCCGCCAGCGCCAGGGAGCAGCCCACAGCAGTCAGATTGTTCAAGTTGGGCTGGGAGTTCTGGATGTAACTAGGGCAGAGGCAGGAGAGGAGGAGGGCGAGGAGCAGAATTAACCTCTTCTTCGGGGAGGCCCTGCTCTCCAGAGCCATGGGGCCTGCCCCAGCCGGTGCAGCCTGGGCCACAGCCCAGCGGGGGCGGGCAGAGGGCTCCCAGCACCCCCACGTGCACACATGGAGCAGAGCCCCGTGGTGTCCCCCAAGAACTTGGTAGTTGTCGGTGAGCTGCTCTGGAGCTGGGATGGGACTTGCGTCTGGTTTCCCCCTTTGGTGGTCACGGTCACTGGGAATGCCAGAGTGGACGCCTCGCCCCCCCCCACGACCTGGCAGTTACACCAGTGTCATCTCAGTCCCTGCCAGGGGCATCACGGTCTCCGAGGAGCAGAAAGGAGGAGGACAGCGTCCGAAAAGAAACTTACCGGACGTGAGAGTTGTAGATATTAAACGAAAGACACACCACAGCCAGGACGATGCCCAGGCTGGACAGCACAGAGACCGAGATGAAGAGTTTCTGGGACATGAAGCGAAATGTCTTGATGACAAGGGTCTGGTCAGCCGGGGGGGCCCCTCCTGCATGGCATAAGGAGGGTTCTAGTCAGCTGGGGGCGCCTCCTGCATGGCCCTGTGGGGGGGGTCTGGTCAGCGGGGGGGACACTCCTGCATGACACATTGTGGAGGGGTCTGGTCAGCTGAGGGGTCCCTCCTGCATGGCCCTGGGGGAGGGGTCTGGTCAGCTGGGGGGCCCCTCCTGCGTGGCCCTGGGGGAGGGGTCTGGTCAGCTGGGGGGCCCCTCCTGTGTGGCCCTGGGGGAGGGGTCTGGTCAGCTGGGGGCCCCTCCTGGGTGGCCCTGGGGGAGGGGTCTGGTCAGCTGGGGGCCCTCCTGCATGGCCCTGGGGGAGGGGTCTGGTCAGCTGAGGGGCCCCTCCTGGGTGGCCCTGGGGGAAGGATCTGGTCAGCTGGGGCCCCTCCTGCGTGGCCCTGGGGGAGGGTCTGGTCAGCTGGGGCCCCTCCTGGGTGGCCCTGGGGAGGGGTCTGGTCAGCTGGGGTCCCTCCTGCATGGCCCTGGGGGAGGGGTCTGGTCAGCTAGGAGGGGTCCCTCCTGTGTGGCCCTGGAAGGGGGTCTTGTCAGCTGGGGGGTCCCTCCTGCATGACACTAGGAAGTAGGGGGAGGGGACAAGGAAATGAAGGTGAGGCAGAGAAAGGGGCAAGGGACACCTGTCTCTAGCCCCGAGGACGTGGAGCCCTCGCTGCCCTGAATGCTGAGTGGGGGTGCTGCGGAGCAATGCTGCCCGCAGCCCAGGGTGGTGGGGGTCTCAGGAATTAGTCGGAAGTGAGAGGAGGGAATGGAGCTGGGGGCCAAGATGCGTCACCAAAGCTGTGGTGTTTCTGGTAGTGTCTGTTCTATGATATGTGTCTTTCTGACAGCAAAGGAAATGGGAGGGAAAGAAGGGAACAACCAAGAGGTGACGTTCGTGAGGTCTCTCAGAACTCAAATCAAAAGCTGCAGACGACAGCTGTAGAATCATAAAGCTAAGAGTTCGAAGGACCCACCTAGCCTCCGAACCCCAGGAAGACACACGACCTGGGAGCTTCGACCCTGGCAGGGTGATGTTCCCAACAGTGTCTTCTAGCTATTATCAAGAGGAAACTCTGATTTGTCAACGAGTTCACAGCAAAAAAAAAAAAAAAAAAAAAAAAAAAAAAAAACCTAATTTCAATTTGCTTAGCTTTAAAAAGAGAAGTGTAATTTAGGCCATGCAGCATTTATAGCAGTAGAGAATACTGTCCTAAATTCAAATTATAAAAAAACATGTCAGAGCTCCAGCAGTGCCGGCAACTACCAGCTTCCAGTGGGGAAGGGGAGCTGGCAGCTGGCTCCGTCCCTAACGTGCCCTCTTCACCGGCAGGTCCTTCCTCCTGTCCACCTGGAGCGTCCTTCCCATTGCCGGTCGTTTGGCCCACGAAGCGCATGAGCAACACTTGCTTTTACTTTGCCTCTTTAAAAAGCACATCTGAGGGGAAGACAATCCAGGAGGTTTTGCAACCTCTCCTATAATTTAAGCAACTAGTTTCCTGAGAAAGATGAAGAGGCGACTCCAAGCTCCAGTAGCTGGTTCAGATAGATCAAGGTACCAGAACATCTGGGAGACCCACACGGGGTTTCCACGGCCACCCCCCATGCGCCACATCTCTGATCCTATTACCTGAGCAGCGCATTACTTTTGCTAGTGCATCGCTCCCTCTTCAAATACATACCCCACCCATGTCTTCACCCGGACCCTGGCCCATCTCCTTGGCACATTTCCAGCTGATGGCACCTGCCACCCCAGCCTCGTTCACGTGCACAACACTTGGTCTTGCTTGCTCAGAGGCACCGAAGAATACAGACAGGACCCGCTTACCAATCCACTTGTCCGTTTTGGACCAGGAAAGATCGTCCTTAGTGCTGTCATAGTAGCCGATCTTCTTGTAGCTGCCCCCTGGGCGGGAGACAACGGAAGGCTGAAGAGCCCAGCCCAGGCCCGAGCCTCTCACTCCCCTCAAGTCACTCTCCCTGCTCGCATCTGAGCCCCCGAGGGGTCCCTGGGAGGACAGGAGGGCTCTCGAGTCAGCCACCTGGCTGACAGGAAATGCAAGGTGTCTGCCAAGGCTCATGGGTGTGTGAGAGCATCTCGGGGGTTCGAGGCCTCTGGGGAGAGGGCTCTGAGACGCCACTGCTCAGCCTCGCGCCTCTCCCGCTGATCGTCTCACACTTCGATTCTGGCTTCAGAAGCCTGCGACATCTCTGCTGATTCTCCCTCTCATGACAGACAGAATCACAGGATCTATTTTCCCAGTGGCTTTCATTTTAATTTTAGAAATTTCTCTTCTGTTGGCTTGAGTTCTAATTCCTTGGAAAGTTGCATCTGCCTCTTAGAGCCACGAGGTGGGGGGTAGTTCAGCCATTCCTAAGAATTCCTGTTCCAGAACTTTTCCCTCAGAAGCCAAACCACAGCCCTGGGGTTTGGGCTACAAGGAGGATCTGTGGACAGGTGGGAGCGGGGAGAAGGGGAGGGCACGCTCCAGGAGGCTGCGAGCGGCGTGGGGACAGCCTGACCGGCAGAGGCTCGGCAGGTACGTGTGTGCTGACGTTTAAGGAGATACAAGTGAGGAAAGCCAGACTACACAGGAGACCCAAGAATCAGAAAAGCTTGCTTAGACAGCAAGGAAATGCAGTAGGTTTCCTCTGAAAATAGCAGCTCTGCTAGACTCCACTAGCCTGGAGTCCACAGTCTGCACCTGACAAGGGTTAGCCCCTCAGAGCCAGGCTCCCAAAGGGACATTTCTGAAATCACAAGGGAAGCCCCTGGAGAAAGGCAGTGTGTCTGCCCCTTCCCAGGTCTGGGCACCCCCCACCCCCACTGAGCGTTTCACTCTTCTTATTAGATAAATGCTTGACGAACCAGTTCAAAGAGAAGAGCAGATGGGCACGCACAAGCCACCCTCCCGATCTCCTTCCTCGGGCGGTGACACCAGACCTCAGCCCGCACCCCTGGGCTCAACCTGCCACTGCCAGACCCCGTGGCCCCACACCCCTGCGCTCGCCATGCACCGCCCAACCCTGCGGGCCCCCCACACCCCTGCGCTCACCCTGCACCGCCTGACCCCATGGGCCCCCACACTCCTGAACTCACCCTGCAGCTGCTCAATGAGCGTCCAGGCCATCCGGGAGCCGCTGGCATCAAACACCACGTGACCCTGCGTGCGGGAACATGCGGAGGCGGCAAAGGTGATAAGAGCGGGAGCCAGGAGAGAGCGTCAGGGCCTCTCTGGATCCTTATGTGTTTGATGTCACTGAGCCTCTGCATGAATTCTATTTATGGCATTTGCCTGCATATAGGACATACCCCAGATGCCCATACCCTAGTTTTAGAAACATTCTTCTTTGGAAAAGAAGCTTCACCTGTGGGATTTGAGTGGGAAGCATCCCCGGACAGAGCCCCAGGAGCCCCGGCCTCTGGCTGTGTGACCCAGGCACAGCACCTAGTCCCTCTGGAGGCTGTTCTCCCCACTTGGAGAGGGACAGATGACCGTTCAGACTGTCTCCTCTTTTAAAATCCTGTGATTCTCATCTGACTCATAAATATCTGGACTGAAAATAAATGAGGGAAAGGCTGAAAGAAATGGAATACAGCATCTTCCCCTCTTGCCTCATGGGGGTTTTTCTGGCTTGGGGGATCTGAGACTGATCCCTGCAGGTTAACATGAGCGCAGGAAAGGAGGGCACGTGCCCTCTTGGGGGAGCACAGGGGAGCATGGGGGAGACTGCTGCCACTCACAGAGACGCCCTCAAAGGACGAGGAGTTCATCGCCCGGTAGATCTGGTCAGTAATGGTCTGGTTGTTATAATTGAAGTCTTCCAGGCGCACACCGGAGTGGCCACCCCCACCGGACGTCTTGTTCAGGGCCAGCGCCAAGGCCCAGATGGCATCGTAGGCCAGCGGCGCTTCCTGGAAGCCACCAGTCTCCTCGGGGTGTCTCTTGAGCCTCTTGGTCAGTTTCTCCACAAACTCCTGGGACGTCTGCGGAGGAAAGGATGGGGCAGAGGGTTGGCGGGGGCGTGGGGCACATTCCCAACGCGGCTGCAGCCCTGTAATCCAACAGAGGGTGGTGTTTTGCCATCAGAGGGAGCACACGGAACTTTGAAAGCTGGACTTGGAGGGCCTGGACTGGAGCTGGGGTGAGCCGGGCCCAGGAGCCTCGGCACACAGCCGCTGGCCCAGAACTGGAGCCAAAGTTGTAAGAAGTGGACACTGCACAACAGACGGCAGAAGAAAGTAGAGGTGGGCCTGCATGGCAACGTCCTCCCGGGCTCAGAAGTTCTCCGTGGGCCGGACCCGGCACCTCACAGCCCCTGCGATTCTAAAGCAGCTAGAGCGGCCCCGGCCTTCCTCACTGGACCCAGCGGGGCACTGCCTCCCTGAGTGCTCTCCCTGCTTTCGGATCCCAGGCCCTGGAAGGTTCACGGGACACGGGGCCCCAGAGACACACGTCACGTGATTGAAAGCTGGTGCTCAGGCTCTGCCCACCCCCCTCCACCCTCTATCTTTGTTCTCCAAGAAAGCTGAAGACAAGGACAGCTCCTGTAACTCTCCCATGAAATGGGTCAAGAGACCTGAATTTCTATACCTGGCAATGACCTCGTTGGGCTAAAAACCACAGGTAAATTGCTCAAGGGTTTGGAAATGTCTACTGTGCAATGGAGAAAAACACACCTGGCCTTTCTGACCTCCCATAAGCCACACAAGCAAAGGCTCGGTGGCCCCCTCTTCGCAAGGCAGCAGTAACAGAGAGGGCGAGATCTGGGATGTACCAACAGCCTCACCCTCTAAGGAAGGAGGGAGCAGATGAAGAATAAAAAAAAATCTGTTCCCCGTGCCCTGCCCGCTTTTCTCTCTACAGAACTTTCTGAAGACATGGGACAGGGGAGTGCAAGGCACAGACAGTGCGGAAACAGCCTTGGAAAACTAGCCCGGGACCGACCACACCCGCTGCTCCACAAGCGGGAGGCCAGGACCTCATCCCGTCCCCCTGCACACCTCTGCTCCCGGCACCGTGCCTGGCCCAGGACCGACCACGTCCGCTGCATCACGGCAGGGAGCTACTCTGTGTGGCGCTGTGAGGTGGTCCGTGTGACCGCACACCTGTCTCCCACACGGAAGGCACCGCCCAGACCACGCGCTCCAGGTGGGAGCGCTCTGCAGGGGAGTGCTTTCCACGGCGGATGCTGTCCAAGTGTGAGGTCCCGGAGTGCCCTCCGCTCGATTCTGCTGCAAACTCTGATCATGCTAAAAAAGTTTTAAAAATGTCCACTGGGCAGATAAACAGATGCATGGATGGATCCCAGTTCCAACCCATCCACCCGCCTGCTGAGGGACCTCAAACGAGTTATCAAACTGCACTGGGAGGTCATTCAGCTTTAGAATGGGGTGACACTGGCTACCTCGAAGAGCCACTACAGGAACCCACAACATATAGAAAATGCGGGGTATAAAGTCAAGTCGCAGTTTGTCTTTGAAAGTCCCCCTGTCCCTCAGCCTCACGTTCGTCATGGTCGCTCAGATCTACAGTCCAGCTTGGCATCTCATGTCCTGTGTCTCCAACTGTCTCTGCAGCATCTGGAGCTATAAGATCAATAATTCAAAATTTAAAATATCTAAGACGATGCTCCACTTTCCCTCACTCCCCAACACTTCCCAGTACATGAGATTGAAGGCTTGGAATCAGCAAGTCCTCTTAATTCTTCCATTGAAATGTTTCTTTTGGGTTTTTTTTAAGATTTTATTTATTGGGGAGCGTCTGGGTGGCTCAGTGGTTTAAAGCCTCTGCTTTTGGCTCAGGTCATGATCCCAGGGTTCTGGGATCGAGCCCCACATCGGGCTCTCTGCTCAGCAGGGAGCCTGCTTTCCTTCCTCTCTCTCTGCCTGCCTCTCTGCCTACTTGTGATTTCTGTCAAATAAATTTAAAAAAATTTAAAAAAAAAAAAAAGATTTTATTTATTGGGGCGCCTGGGTGGCTCAGGTCATGATCTCAGGGTCCTGGGATTGAGCCCCACATCAGACTCTCTGCTCAACAGGAAGCCTGCTCCCCTCTCTCTCTGCCTGCCTCTCCGTCTACTTGTGATCTCTATGTCAGATAAAGAAATAAAAATCTTTTAAAAAATTAAAATTAAGGGGCGCCTGGGTGGCTCAGTGGGTTAAAGCCTCTGCCTTCGGCTCAGGTTATGATCCCAGGGTCCTAGGATCGAGCCCCACATCGGGCTCTCTGCTCAGCAGGGAGCCTGCTTCCCCCTCTCTCTCTCTGCCTGCCTCTCTGCCTACTTGTGATCTCTGTCTGTCAAATAAATAAATAAAAATCTTTATTAAAAAAATTAAAATTAAAATAAATAAAGATTTTACTTATTTCTTTGACAGAGAGAGACACAGTGAGAGAGGAAACACAAGCAGGGGGAGAGGAGAGGAAGAAGCAGCTTCCCATGCAGCAGGGAGCCCGATCCCTGGGATCACAACCTGAGCCGAAGGCAGATGCTTAACCGACTGAGCCACCTAGGCCCCCTCTTGAAATGTTTCATTAAGACCACCAGTGCCTACACAGAACAGTCTTAATTATAATAATAATAATAATAGGGGCGCCTGGGTGGCTTAGTCGTTAGGCATCTGCCTTTGGCTCAGGTCATGATCCTGGGGTCCTGGGATCAAGCCCCACATCGGGCTCCCTGCTCAGTGGGAAGCCTGCTTCTCCCTCTCCCACTCCCACTGCTTGTGGTCTCTCTCTCCCTGTGTCTCTGCCAAATAAATAAGTAAAATCTTTTAAAAAATAATAATAATAATAATAAGACCTAACATTTATATTTCCTTACAATGTTCCAGGCATTTTTCCATTTTTCTGAGGTGTACATAAATAGAAACAGGCACATAAAGTTTAACTTGCCGGGAGTGACGGTGCGTGGCAGGGCTGGGATTCAAGCCCAGGCAGCCTGGCCTCAATGCCCATACTCTTCCCAGGACCCTCGCATCGCCTTGGCACGCTGACATGCCTCTCTCCCCAAGAGCACCTGCTCGGCCGCCGGCCGCGGGCTGCCTTCCTGAGTGGTCCTTCACAAGTCTGTCCCATCCCCAGTTCGACGTACACACTGGGCCACAAGAACCTCCAATGGAAAGGGACTCACGCAGCCAGTACGGTGCTCTCCCCACCCAGACCTTCGACTCTTCCCCGGCTCCAGGCCACTTGACAAACATGCTTACCCCAAAAATCGTTCCCCCTCAGGCCAGCAAAGATACCACTGCAAATTTTCAGGTGGAAACATTACTAAGCAGCTCAAGAAAAAGTAAACAGCAAAAATTCCACAACCCACAAAAATCAGTAAAGTAATCAAGGGCAGCATTATGACCCTAATTTTCTGGCGGCCCTGCCGGCTGTGTCTGTGTGAGGGATGCCTGACCTTGACCTCGAGTGTACATCCTGAGGCAGCTTCTGATTTCAGATTCTACCAAGATCTGACGGGACCTCTGCCCCAATCTGTGAGAACTGGAAGAGAATGTCATCTCCAGGTAAGGCCACCTCCCAGCTGCCCCTCTAGCCCAGAGCTATCATAGGTCCCCAAAACCACTCCAACTCAATCTCCCACGCCGGGTTCCTTTCTAAGCCAGGGTTTCTCCATCCCTGCATGACTGACATTCGGATCAGGAGAATGCCTTGCTGTGGGGCACGGACCTCTGCGTTCCAGGCTGCCGGGAAGCATGCCCATTTACCCGCTAGACGCCGATTGTGACAACCAAACTGTCTCTGGACATTGCTCCGGCCAACAGTTCTCAAAATATGGTCTCAAATCAGCAGCATCAACAGCCCTAGGGAACCTGCTGGAAAGGCCCAGACCCACCGCATCAGGACTTGTGAAGGAAGAGCCCAGTAATCTGTCCTCACCAATTCTCCAGGCCAGTAACGTCGGAGAATGAGGGCCCAAATGAAGAGACAGCAGCTCTGCTTCTCTTCTAGACCCAGTCTGCATCGCTCTGGGTCCCAGGTCCAGCCCCTGCTTCTCATCTCCCTCTCCTGGGCCTGCCTGATGCATCCACCATCTCTTCCCTGCTCAGTCGTTATGGCTGCTCTGCCCCCTGGAAAACCCTCGCTCTCCCACTGGGCACTTCCAGCGACCATGCAGACCTGCTGTCCCTAGAAGCTGTAGGGCCCCAAAGGCACCACGTTTGTCTAGAGACCCAGAGCCAGAAAGACAACCCTCCAGCGCAGTCAGCTCCAGAGCCCAGATGTCCATCCACACCCCTCCCCCGGTCCCTGCTCTCTGCCAGGGGTTCCTTTAGCTCCCTGCTGTGGGGCAGAAGCCAGGACGTACAGGTCCCGGGCTCAGGGTGCCGAGAAGCCTCTGGGCTTTGGGGCCAGCTCCTCTACTTCTGAAGGTCTCCAGGATGACTCGCTTCTCAGCTGCTCTACAGGGAGGTGACCCTCCAGAATCTTCCAGGCTATGTTTCAACCACGATACCTGAAACATGAAGTCCCTCGGAACTCCCCAGGACAGTGTCCACAATCAGAGTCCGCGGACACAGTCCACCGCGAGGACAGACGCCTGAGTCGTCTTCCTCTCCAGCTCAGAAGCTGCCGTCAGCCAGACAGTGTCTCCGGCAAAGGCACAGGCTCTTCTGTCGGGCTTCCCAGTTTCCCATGGCAGCAACACGGCAGAGTGGTTTGGAGTTAGACTCAAAGGGGGTCAACTCTGGCTTCCCCACTCAGCAGTTTTGGAGCCTGGGCCCAGTCCCTCAACCTCTCTGCATCAGTTTCCTGGTCCGTAGAATGGACATGAGAAACCTCCAGCCAGCTTGGCTGGGAGGTCACAGATACCAGGTCCCTGATTCCTGGGTTACTGCGCAAAAGCAATTATGACTACACCTCTGTTTTCAACGGGGTATTTGGGGCTTTACAACCATGAGCTCGCCCCTAGTGTGCTTCCCAAAACAGGCCTTCCGGGCCTGGGGTACCCCTGGCAAAAATAAGCAGACACGGAGGTTGCCTCATCAGCTCGCCCAAGATCCCCGTCTTCCCCCAGATAGAACCCTGAGCAAGAACGGAGCCTCGGCCTTGTGCCCTGCTCACTCCTGCCCCTCGCCTGCCGGCTGTCCCAGCCTTTCCAGATCAGGCGACATGCCTTCTAGCCCCAGGCCTGTCACCAATCAGCTCCCTGGAACAAACGGATTTCAAAAGTCCCTTGTACATCTAAAATTCTAAAAAAGGATCATTAAAAAAACATCAGGAGCCAAGCTAATTGAGTATCAGTCAGGAGTGAGTATTAAGCAACTGCAAAGGATGCTAAAGTCCCTGAGAAAACAAACCCCGTTCCTGCTCGGGAACAGCCCTAGTATCAAGGTGTGTGCGCGCACACCCGTCTGTGTTGTCATCAACGCCTCTCCCTCCTTTGACTTCTCACCAACCGCTCCTTGTTGCCATGGTAACAGCCCTTCCTCTCATCAGGGGCCTCGCACACATACCACTCCTGTCCCTCTCTGCGTTCCTGCTCAAGGAAGTCAGAGCAGAGGTGGAAGCCGCAGGAAGCGCAGTGCAGACAAGCCTGTGTGCCCTCGGGGCCTGCGAGGTCCACTCCCGCTCCCACCCCCCACGAGGCGGCCCCGCCCCTAGGCTCCCCACAGCCCTGGCCAGCGGCCCCGCCCCTGCGCTCACCATGTTGGAGATGCTGCGGGTGTTGGCAGGGTTCAGCATGACGATCTCGGTGGTGATGTGGCCTTCCACGGCCTCGGTCATCTCATCCACTGTGCAGTTGATGGACGGGTCGTAGATCTTGAACCAGTTGTCAGCGTACCACCCGATGAGGAACCAAACGTACTTCTTCCCGAAGAGCCGCTCCTTATACACCTGGGTGCAGAGAACGAGCAGGGCTGGGGCTCTGTGGCCTTTTCTGGCCTAACTCCCTTGACGCGATCCAGCCCCTCGGGAATCAGAGGAGAGCAGAGAACTGCAGAAAGGACTCTACAAGTTTTGGCGGGCGTAGGAGCCACTCAGGGACTCCACCTTCTAAGTTCCTCCCCAGCCAGTCAGGAAAGATGGGGTCCAGGGGATCCTGCGGGAACACTAAGGGGGAGGAAACGGAGACCCGGAGAATGCGCTGGGTGCGAGAAGCCAAGAGACGGAGTCGGAGCCGAGAGACAGGGACGTCATACTGACCATCGCCTCCGACCGCCGGCTACCAACCTGAGCAGAGAGACCCCATCAGACAGCCCCGGGCAGAGCCCACCCAGGCCCCTCCCGCTCCGGAAGCCAACTCTACCTCACAAAACACTTTCCGGGCTTCGGTCTCATAGAAAAGTCCCACGATGATTCGGGCATCCTGGCGCTAGAGAGAGAGAGAAACCGCTCCCGAGAGCCGCCCGGAAACCCCCAAGCACTTCCACACCTTGGATTCCCTGCCCCGGAGAGCTCAGTGCAGGGTCTGCTCACGGGGTGCTGGGCAAGTGCCAAGTGGACGATGAGAAGAAACGTGCCAGAACCGGAATTCTGTGATGGAACGGAGCTGCCGGGGCACGTGAGGGCGGCTGTCCCACAGTCGCGCTGCCGCACACCCACGCGTCCCGCCAACGGTTGGCTTACACGGCACCTTCCATCCACCGTGTGCGAGGCACAGTACGACTCCTCCCAGGACACGCGGCCTCACACTGTGCATGTGTGTACATGAAAACTCACCCACCAACGCTTCGCACACCTCAGGCTTATACGATGGTATATGCTAATTATAGCGGGATACAGAAAAACAAAAAACAAACAAACAAACGAAACCCACCTGCCCCTGCCTGGTTCTCCTCTCCCAACCCCCTCCATCCCCCCAACCTGGTCCCTCCACAGGCGGAGCCCGCCACTCCCGAGCAGCACACCTTCAGGTTTTTGACCGGCACAGCTGGATCGGAGAAGAAGCTCTGGCGGAAAGTGATCTCGATTCCAGCCTCCTTCACTCGCTCCTCTAGGTCATCCAGAGTCTTGGGTGGGAATGAGAAGGAAATGGAGAAAATGTGGGGCATGCGATGGAGTCAAGAGCAGAGAGCATACTTGGGGACTGCACAGAGCAGGAGGAGGGGCAGCTCTGAACCGTCCTCCCGCCACGCCTGTCCCCGGGGCCATGGAGGGCGGCAAGGAGAGCGTCTGCAGCCTCAGGATCCACACTCAACCCAGGAAGGTGCGCGAGAGCCCCTCCTGCGGGTCTGTGTCCCGGGAGGTCGCCCCACTCACCCCACTCCCACCAGGCAGCGAGAGCAGGGGAAAGGAGAGAAGACGCAGGAAGAATGAGACAGGTCTGGTGTGCACGGCACAGTCTCAGCTCAAGGGCCAGAAGCGCAGACAGAGGTGTCAGAGAAGGACGCCCTGAATCACGGAGGGACTAGGGGAGGCTTAAAGGGGGTGCAGCTGCAGCTCCCTTCCACTGAATATAAGGGAGGATGGGGGATCCGAAGACTGGGAGAAGTGAGAGGACCAGACTGTCTTCTCCAGCGCCCAGCCCTACATTTCCTCTCCCCACTCCCATGTCTCCTGTCTCTCTGCCTCCCTCCCTTTTCCTTTCTCTCCCTCCTTCTCTGTTCCCTCTCTGTTCCTGCTGTTCCTTCTCTATCTCTCTCTCAATCTCTCTCTCTCTCTCTCTCTCTCACACACACACACACATGCGCACACACACCAAGTGTCTGGAATTTGCTACCTTTCTTGGTTCGTATCTTATATTCCCTCTCTTATCTCAACTTTGGAGTGAACCTACTTTAATGGAAGTGGGTCATTTTGGGTCTATCCACCTGGGAAAGAGAGCATCAAAGGGAAAAAAGTGTCCTAAAACCAAAAACTTGGAAAGGATCCCGAAAACCTAACTCTGTTTATTCCTCTGGCTCCAGAGAGAACATGCACTTAACCCACTCAGAATGAGTTTGCTTTTGATAAAGAAACAGGTTCTTTGGGCACCAGGGTGGCTCAGTCGGTTAAGGGTCTGGCTTCGGCTCAGGTTTCAATCCCAGGATCCAGCCTGGCATCAGGGTCCCTGCTGGGCTGCAAGTCTGCCTCTCCCTCTCCCTGTGACCCTCCCCCTGCTCATGCGCACACACTCTCTCTCTCTCTCTCTCTCTCTCTCTCTCTCTGTGAAATAAATAAACAAAAATATTAGAAAAGAGAAGAGAAGAAAGAAGCAGGCTCTTCTGCCCTGGAGGACCCTGGCCACTGCCCCGGGCGCAGGGCCGGCCATGCAGGCCTGCTCACCGAGGTGAAGACCTCCGTGGTCTGCTGGATGGTGGCGATCCTCCTCCAACCCCACTTCTCAAAGAGCTTCACGCGCGTGGGGTTGTGCAGCGTGGCCGACGGATGAGTCCGAAAAAATGTGGGAAAACGCTGCCGGTTGGACAGGGCCGGCGAGCTGGAGCCATAGGACAGCTGAAGGACAGGGACACGGTGCGGGACAGGCTCACCCAGAGCTCCTCTGCGACCCTGCTGGCTGCCCCAAGCCTCCCGCCCACCTCTGCCCTGTGCGCAGCAGCTCCCACGGCCCACACGCCCGCAGCTCAGGTCCTGCTGAGGAGGAGCAGGGAGCTGCGGCTCTCGGGCTCTCGGGCCACCGCTGGGCCACCGCTGGACGAGGCCCCAACGGCCTGGGAGTCCCGGAAGTGGCCCCCCCGCGGCCCCCCATTCTCGGCCTTCCGCCCGGCCTACCACGATGAGGTTCCACATCCTGGCAGCCTCGGCCACCAGCGTGGACACGGAGCTGCAGCCGGGCATAAGGATGATCTTGATGGGGTCGTTGTACAGCAGTTCGTACAGGTACTTGGTGGCTTGGCCTGGGTCACACTGAAGGGGGAGGGGTAAGCGTCGGGGGTCCCCAGCAGTCCAGTCACTTCTCAAATACCCATCACCCCTGTCATCAGCACCCCGTTCCTCTCCTTCCCATCCAGTCTCTGGGCTCCCCTCACGTACCAAGCCCGCCCCTCATCTCCCCTGCACCTTCACCCATGCACACACCTCCACCACGATCGCTGCAAAGACCACCTTTCCTCCCTTCTTCCCCCCGCCTACCTTCCTCTGTCACCTTGTCCCCTTCCCCGTGTTTCTAAGCTCCCAAGGTCTGTGAGTTTTAGGAAAGAGTCTGCAGGAATGTGAATGAACCCCCCCAAGTCCCCAGACAGCCTCCTCAGAGCCAAGCTATGGAAATTCCTCCTTCCGCCTCTGCAAACTCCCTGTCCGTTGGCCCCTGTCGGTCCCCTGCTCCTCTCTTTTCCAGGCTAGTGATAAATAAACACGAGGACAACAGGGAACAAGGTCACCAGGGAGTCCTGCTTGGCTATCCCTCCCCTCCTGCTGGGCCCTGACATTTGACCGGTCCATTAGAAAAAGAGGCACTTCGAGGGGGTGGCAGTGGGGGAGAAACAGGGGAGGAAGACCTGGGGAGAACAAACAGTGTGAGGTTCTCAACAAACCAGATGCTTTTAGGGGTGCCTGAGGGAGGGGCAGGGAGATGGGGAAAGTAAACAATGCAGAAAGCTGGGGAGGGAAGGGACATGGGAAGAAAGAGCCGCACGGTGTCCCCCTGCCTGTTCCCCTCCTGCTGGAGGATGACATTTCAGAAGCTGCTGGAGCCCCAGAGGAAGTCGAGAAGAAATGGAAGGCCGTGGGGAGCCAGGGCAGCAGAGGCACAGGCAGGCGGCACAGGGGGCTGGGGACGGTGACATGGGGGCAGGCCAAGCAGGAATAAGGAAGGCCCCTAGAGCCTGCTCACTTCCCACTGGGGCCTGACATTTGAGACACTGAGGGAAGCTGGAGGAGGGGAGCCGGTGGAGCAGGAAGCAGCCTCTGCGGGCCCCCCACCCCCCGCGAAGGGGTGTTTTTGAAGACTTTGCCTTCCCACCCAGCTTCTCAGAGCATCTCGGCCATTCTTGGACCCCACTGTCCCGCACTGCCCTAGCAGGTTACCCCAGATCCTAGCCCAGTACCCCTGCAGCCTGGGAAAGGGTGGCGGGAACAGGGACACATAAGAGCACATACAACACACACACAGGGCGAGGAGGCAGGCTGACCCAGGGCTCTTCTCGTTTGCTCCTTCCTTCCCTACTCTCCCTCTTCCACACTCAGTTCCTCCCTGCAAATTCCCTGATTCCCACCCCCTCCCCAATAGACTTCCTCTCAGCCTCTCCTCCGCTCTGTCTTCTGCGAAGGCTCCGGGTTTGCAGGCAGGAAACCACACATTCCAGTTTGCCTGCTTTCTGCTCTCCCTCCCTGCTTCTTCCAGTTTCTCTTCCATCTCCCTTCTCCCAGGCCCCCCATCTGCTCCCCAGCACCTCCGGGCAGTCACCTGTCCCAGAGCATGAGTCTGAGCTCACACACGGGGCTATGGGGCTCCCAGGATCCCTGTGACCCCCTCTCCTGACCCTGGCACCCATCCCTCCCAGTTTCTCTCTGCAGGCTCCCACCTCCAGCAGACCCAACCCTCTGCTCCTCTCCCTGCCTCTCCCCACGACACCTCATTTTTTTTCCTGGTACTGCTGCTCATTGACAAGGACCCCAGGGGCAGCCACTAAGGCACACCAGGACAGGACGAATAATGGTAAAAATGCAGATTCTTGGGATTCATTCCTGACCATGGAGTTCGTTGAATCTGTTTTAAACCCAGTCCTCTGGTGAATCTTGTGTACACAGAAGTTTGGAAATCCCTGCCAAAGTGTCAGGAGGGGTTTGAAGTCCTCTCTCCAAGCTGCTAACAGTCCTTGTGATCTCTTTTCTCCAGGCACCCCACCTTCAACCCCACTCCGCCCGCTCCTCCCTCACAAACCTATTTCTCGGTGCAGACAGCTGCTCAAAAGAATGAGGACACATCCTGGGTCCACCCAGGAGAAATGACCACAACCTCACCTCTGTCCTCCACTCTCCTCTCCTCCAGCCCCGTGGGAGGCTGGGGGCCACATGTCAGAGAAGATAAATTTGAGGTCCCAAGTCTCTTTCCTTCCCTGTGCCACATCCTTCCCCACACTCCCAGTCACTCACAGGGGATAGGGTGGGAAAGGAGTCTTATGGGGCCACCCTGTGCCACCCAACCCAGATGTTCTTTCCTTCCCTTTCCTCTCTTCCCCACCACCCTCACCCTACACCGTACTTTCCTCCTCACATCTTGGAGGCCACAATGCCGTAAGGAAGATAAACTTAAGACCCAAGTTCCACAGGACGCCCAAGAATTGAGCTCTGTCCCACACTTCCTCATTGCCCCCTCCCCTACTACCATTCTTTCCTGCTCCCTCTCCTGCCTCTGTCCAGATACCCCCCTTTCCCCCACGCGACTGTGAGGGTTCCTGCGTGGACCTCTAATCCACTCATTTTCCCAGTGCCTCTGCCCAGCCCCGGACCATTCGCTTTTCCAGAACATGATATGCCACATATCCCACAGTCTGGGAATCCTCGGCAGGACAGGGCTCACAGCTACCCCACTGTTTGTTGTGACAAATAAACCAGAGCGCTCTAGTCCCTCAAATTTTTCCTTATTCGGTCCCAACCTGCTGCCAAGATTACCTTGTTACCATGGTAAATCGGAAGCCCTGCTCCAGCTCACCCCTGACACCTCCTCCATCCCCGCAACCCATCCCAGGGTTAGTTGACTCCCCGGGACCAAGATCAGCTTGTACCCTAAATCCACCACCAGTCTCCCCAACCCTCCCCCCACTTCCCTGCGTCCTGGGGAGCAGAAGGGTCTGCCTTACAGCCTGATTCACCCTACTAAGCCCCTAGACCCTCATCTTGAACCTGCAGCCCCTATGACTGTCCCCAGGCTTGCGCACCCCCAGCCCCTCTCCCGCTAGTCACACGTGGGAGGGGTCTGCTTCGCAATCCGGAGTCCCTCGGACCCAGGCGCGCGCGGCTGGCTCCTGCCCCCCAGACCCCCGCCGCCCGCCCACTCCCACGTCCGGGGCTACCTTGCTGTCGTGGTGGATGAGCTTGAGCTCATAGTCCGGCAGGATGTCCCTGCGGCTGTTCACGTCCTCCAGCGCCATCTCCACCGCGGGCTGGCAGGCCTGGCCCCCGGGCCAGCCCCCGCTCATGGGGAACAGCGCCCCGATGTACACTGCGCGCCGTTCTGAGGAGGGGTGCGGGGGGACCCGCGGGTGAGGCCGCGGGAGATGAGGGGAGTGGGAGGCCCACACCGGAGTCACCCCCGTCGCCATCACCACCAGCAGCGGCAGCGGCCACCGCACCCGGGGAGCGGGGACCCCCGGACCCATGGCCGGGAGGGAGAGGGGCTGTTTGGGGAGGAGGAGGAGCTCAGGGGGGACACTTTTCCTGGGGAGGGCTGCTGAGGGGGAGTCGAGGAGGCGCCTCCATCTCGGCTTGTGTAGGGAGGAGGGGGCGAGGGCCCCAGGGAAGCGGGGAAGGTCGGCTTCCTAGGGCCCCTGCGGCTCCAGCTCCCGCCACGGCCACCGCCACCTCCACCGCGGACTCTCCTCGCGGACTGACTGACCGACCGAGGGGAGGAGGAGGAGGAGGAGATGGCGGGCTGGGAGGGGGCCCTGACGTCACGCGCGGCGCGCGGCAGCTGCGGGGGGGAGGGGCGGGGAGGGAGGCGCGCGCCGCCGTGGGAACGACAGGCGGAGGGGAGGGGCGGGGAGGGGAGGAGGACGCGACCCCCAGCGGAAGAGGCCTGGACGGGGAAGGGGGGGGGTCCCACCTAAGGGGCGGCCGGGGAGGAGCCGAGAGGGGAAGGGGCGTGCCGGGAGGGCGGGGTGGGCCGAAGCTCCGGGGAACCGGGGATGGAGACGCGCAGAACGGCGGTGGGACGCGCGCGTCTCAGTCGGGGGTGTGGATGGATGGGGCGCAGGGCTGAGGGTGCGGGGGACAGGGCGATGGCAGCGGCTTAGGAGAGAGGTGGTTGGGTGGGAAGGGGGTGGCGTGAAGGGGAGTGATGGGGCGGAGGCTGGGAACCCGGGGCTGGGGAGACAGAGCTCGGGAAGGGATGGGAGCTGCGAGAAGGGGAAGGGTGGAGGTGGAGGGAAGGGACGGCCGTGCGGAGGAGCCGAAGCGGGGAGAGCCAGGCCCGGCCGGGGGGAGACGTCAGCGCGGGGCGGCCGGGGTCGCCCGGCGGAAGCCCGCGGTGAGCAGGCGGCGGACGCGCGGGGTCTGCCCGCGCCCCCCGCCGCCGGCCGGGCTCTGCCCTTTGGCCCGAGCGGAGTCTGGGAGGAGGCGGAGCCCGGGGCAGGGCAGCCAAGCGGGGAGTTGGGAGGGACCGCAGCCTCGCAGAAAACCGGCACTGGAGGCAGAAAACAGGTAGGGAAAGAAGGGGCCGCGAACTGGGACGGGGGCGGGTCGGGGGCAGAAGGACGAGACCCCACAGCCTCGGGGCAGGACCCCTGGGGATGGAGGGTGAAGAGTGGGGGGCAAGGGGGTTGCAGTGCGCGAGATGAGGGTTTATGATCTCACCTGAGTGCGGCGTTCGATTCACTGGCAGCAGGAAAGACGGGGATCAGAGAAGAGTTACCACTGGCGCCCAGCTTCCCCGGCCAGATCCCCAGCCCCCTCCCACACCTGTCCAGGCCGGAGAGGACCGGGTAGAGCAGAAGCCTGCGTTTCTGAGGGGAGGGTGCCTGGGGATAAGAGCAAGGTGGGGCTGTGGGTCAGGACCTGCCGGTTTTCTTCTTTTATTTTTCATAGGACAACAGAATTTGAGACAGGAGTGCCAACAGCTAAGACACGGGCAGATCCTGGTTTTGTGGAGCCTAAATATCATTAAATGCAGGGGTCTCTCTTTAAGAGAAAAAAATACAAATACAATTGATTTTAAACCATTGCCTTTAAAATCTTACTTTTGCATTTTTTACGAAAGCTATGACCATGCGAACACATTATATTACAGCACAAGAAGAACCCTGTGTGAATGAGGGTCCCTGACACTTAAACCGCAGTAGCTTCATGGTAAACCCACCCCCGGTTGGGGCTCTCAATTTCCGGAATGGAATGGTAAACTACACGCAGAATAATTACATTAAGGGAGGAAAGCCAGGTCCAGAACCTTGAAAGAGTCTACAAGAGTGGGGGAAGCATGAGGTATGCCTGTATCCCTCAGAGAAGACTACAAAGGGAGAATCCGGGTACCTAGGAAAGGGGGGATTCTGCAGAACGAAACGCCCAAAAAAGGTGTTGGACACAAGACTGAGTCCCTTGGGAATGATGGGGGTTCTCTGAGAATTCCAGAAAGGACTGTCCCTTTCCCCTCCCCCATCCCTGGGTGGTCCTTAGTGCTCTGACAGTTCTGCCCCCAATTTTAAGTCTTTTTAATTTTTACCCTGATAATTTTCCACCCCAGATATTCTTTCCAATCTTAACATTTTTTCTAAGTATGACATATGATTTATTTCTGAGTCTTTACAATAATCCAGTTATATAACAAATGGAGAGGAATCAGTTGTAGAGGAGAGTTATGCATAGAAAGCTCTAAGTTTAGAGAAAGGGACTGAGGCTAGGGGAAACTGGAGTATTCAAGCCTTAAGAAAGGTAATAGAGGGTGAGACTCAAAAGGGAAAAGAGAACATGTGAAGATTTGGGAGCAGGGAGGAGATATAAAAAGAGGGAGGTAGAGGAAGGAAGCCCCAGTGTAGGTAAAGTGGGCACTGGGGACTGCAGAAGGGGGCTGGAGACAGGTGGGAGGGGAAGAAGAGTTAGGTTTTCACCTCCAGTCCCCCAAAGCCTCCCATCTTGCACAGCTCCCCATCCTTTCCCGCCCGCCCTTCCCACCCTTCTCCCGTCCTCAGCAATCGCCCTTAGCGGCAAGCAGGCGGCCAGTCCCTCACCCTGGCACTGCGGCTTGGGAGTGCTCCACTGGCCCTGACTACAGATGCTCCTGGAGCTGCCCACAAGATGGAAGTCAGGGTCACATCGGAAATCCACCCGGGCTCCGTCCAGAGCGGGGAGGTCCCCACCCGTGAGGAAAACCTTCCCATTCTCCAGGGCCAAATAGGACTTGGAGCAGATTCGGACTGTGGAGAGATACGAAAAATGAGAAAGAGAGGCACGTTGGGGAAGGCTCCTTCCCCTTAAAGAGCAGGGAGGGGCCTCCGATTAGGGCTTGGGGCCTCAAGCATCCTCCTCTGCAGGAAATCACGGGTGCAAAGGACTTGCCTCTCTAGCTTCCATTCCCGCCTGAAGCCTGCAAGCATCCACACATTACCAACAAGAAAAAGGAAAAAGCCTTTTCGAGGTAGGAACCCGAGATGGAGCTATAAGCACACAGAAGGGGTCTCTTCAAAGTCAGCGTCAGTGGGCGGATCCCTGGCAGTGGGCGGGTCCCTGGCAGTGGGCGGGTCGCTGGCGGATGGATGTAACTTTAGATGTACAATCAGATTTACCTTCCTTGTTATAGCTGACTTACACTGTCAAACTGGGTTTTGCTTTGTGGGTATATGATCTCTGCGTTGGAGACAGAGGTATTCAAAAATGCCACGAAATCATTCTGAGTGTTTTTGCACAATCTGCCACTAATCCTCCTCAAAGAAAAGAACTCACAAGATGAGCATTTTATCAGAGGGTCCGTGGCCTAACGCAGGGAGGATGAGATGAAATGAAAGGTGTGCGCTGCTAACTTGACTCCCTCGAAGTGGGCATAGTAAAATCCTTCTCACACAGTGTCTGCTCCATAAACAAATCTGGATTTTGTTGCAGTGGATTTAAAGTGCTGACTTGTAAGCAATAATGCTAAGTTTGAGGCAGGAAGAGGAAGGGTCTTGAAGAGAAGAGGGGCTTTCCCAGGCTACTCACCGCATCTGCTGGGCGTGTCCATGTCCGTCCAGGAGCCGTTGGCCAGGCACTTCCGGACCTTGGGCCCCACCACCTCGCGCTCGCCCCGGCACACATACTCAATCTCATAGTCCACGGGCAGGAAGTTGATAGCCTTCACCTGGTCCCGAGTCAGGCCCCTGTACCTGATGCCCCCTTCCCAAGGCGGGTGTATGATCTGGCAACCTGAGGGGTGAGTCCCAGGAGTCAGAGAGGGGTGGGAGGCGGGCAGAGTCAGCTTCGGGAAACACAGGAGCCTAGGGCGTGGTCAGTGGGCAGGTGGCAGACCAGAGCCCAGGTGGGATGCAGGGGGATGGGTGCAGAACCCTGGGCTAAAGGACAGAGAGCCCTGATCAAGGGTTAAGGCCAATGAGAGCTCACAAGTGAGGAGGGAAGCGTGCTGTCTGGGGGTAGTGGGAAGATTGGGAATTCGTGAAAGGGTACAGTGTGCAGTGAGCCTGGTCAAACAGGCTATAGGAGGATTTCTGAGTAAATTAGGAGGAGAGTAAAGGGGGGCTTCTCCTCTACCCAGGCAGCAGTGTGGGCAAGAAGGAGGGGTGGGGTCGAGAAAACAATGCAGGGTCACCGAAAGGTGGCCGATGCAGTGACGTGGGGCAGAGAAGAAGGAGTGCTGGGTCAGAGGCGGGGTGAGGGAAAGGGGGTCAGGGGGGTTGACGTGGGGCCGGGCGGACAGGATGGCCAGGCGGGGATGCTATCTATGTAGGGCTGACGGGATAGTAATGAGGACCAGAAAAGGGGTGCAAGGACAGCGGAGTGGTGGGGGTGCCCGAGGTCGCCGGTGAAGGCGCACCTTCTGAGGTGGCGTTGGGGGTCTGCGCCCCGCTCGCGCCCGGGGGCCGGAGGAAGAGCGGCGGCAGCAACGGCAGCAGCAGCAGCAGCAGCATCTGAGTGACAGGCGGCCGTGAGGACCGGACCGAGCTCCGCCGGTGCGGCCCAACCCGGCGTGCGGGTGGTGGTGGGGGGATGCTGCCGCCCGGCCTCGCTCGCCCGGCCTCGCCGGCTCCGACCCGGCTCCGACCCGGCTCCGCCTGCGGACCAGACGCGCGCCCCGCGGAGGAGGCGGGGGCGGAGCCCGGCGCGGGGAGAGGGGGGAGGAGAGAGCGCCTGTCCCCACCCTCCTCCTGCCTCCCTCGGCCCCCCACCCTCCCGGGACTCCACCTCTAACCACCTCCTCTCCCCCGGCCCCCGCGGCTCTCCGAGCCCCGCGTCCCCGCGCGCCCCGGCCGCTGCCCCGCGCGCCCCGGCGCGGCCCTCCCCCGCGCGCCCCTCTCCGAGCCCGGCTCCCGGCCCGGCTCTTACCTCGGCGCGCCGGCCCGGCTTCCCGGCTCTCCCGGCCTCTAGGCCCCAGGCCCAGCCGCTCCTCCCGCTCCCCCTCCTTTCTCCTCAGCCTTCCCCTCCTCCCAACCCTCCTCCCCGCGAATCCGGGTTCCTGCCCGGCCAGGGTCTCGCTCCCCTCGCGCTCCCCCAAACCCCACCCCGGTCTCTCCTTCCCGGGGCGGCGGCGGCCGCGGGAGCGGGAGCCGGGAGCGAAGGAGGCGGCGCCGGGGACCGGGGGAGGCTCCGGGCGGAGGGAGGAAGGAGGGTGCGGAGAAGACAGAGCTGGGGGAGGGAGGGGGAGACCGAGGCGAGGGCGCCTCCCACAAGCCGAACCCCGGGAGCCGCCCCGGATCCCGGCCCCGCCCTGGACCGCCCACGGCGGCGGGCTGAGGCGGGGGGGGGGCTTTAGCGGCGGCGGGCTTGGGGGGAGGCTGGGGCGCGCACCGGAGCCGGGTGGGGGCGAGGGGCCCCGAGCGGAAGGCGGAGGAGCGGGTGCGGGGCTGGGAATCGGGGCTGCAGGTGGAGAAGGACGGCTGCACGAGGAGGAGGCCGCTCCGGACCGGCGTGAGAGCAGGGAGGCGGGGGCCGGGGCCACGAGAGGAGCGAGGCAGGTGGGAGGGAGAGAAGCTGAGGTCAGACCGCGAAGGGCGGAGGAGGCGGGTGAAGGCCGGTCGCCTCGAGCGCCTCCCGCGGCCCAGCCGCTCTGCCTTGCTGCCCTGGGCGGGCAGCTGGGGGGAGGACCGGAGGCGAAAGCCGGGGAGGGGAGCGTCCGCAGAGAAATGGAAGTAGTAGAAGGGGAAAAGGGAGACAAAGGAGCCTGCAGCGGGCTGGAGCCAACCGTGTCTTCCTTCACTCCAGCCGGGCCTGTCAGGATTTCTGGGTAGTGGGGAGCCGGAGCCGGGAGCCTGCGGGGACTTGCAGGGCTCTGGACAGTTCCCTCGGGCTCCTGGCCTTTGTGCGGTGGTAAGGCTGTGCGCGAGTGTGTGTGTTCATGGGAGGGAAGGGCGTATGTGTTTGTGTGTGTGTGTTCATGGGAGTGAGTCTGGGCTGCTAGAGGAGACAAGGGGACTCCTTGGGGGCGGCGGGGGGGGTGGGTGGGAGGGGAGCTCACTTCGGGCTGGTCGCAAAAGAGGTGGGGAAAGGCGGATAGCGTGAGGCTGATGGGAACTGAGGGTCTTGGCCTTCAGCCTTCCCAGTGAATCCTTTGTACACTGAATTGAAATTCATAAATGATACAACCTACCTACACACGTAACTATTAAAGGTCAACATGATTCCCTACCTGTGCCATAAGGGGGCAATGGAAAGCAATAATTTGTACTACGAGAACGTGAGCGCCGTTCTATGGTGTGGGTGTTGAGCCCTGACTACGCTGGAGATCGTAATCAGGAAGGAGGCAGACTCACAGGTGTGCAACTCTGCAGGTGCTGGGCACAGGTGCCCAGCACCTGCAGCGTGCTGCCGTCCATTATGTGATGTCACAAAATGTTGAACAACTCTTGGTAGCCAAGTCATTCTTCCCTAAATTTACACAGAACTGTAATTGCATTCCTAGAAAGTTCATTGTATATTAATACCATCTTTCAAACAGTATTAATTTCTAGGCTTAGATAATTAAACACAGGTTTTCACCTACATGAAGGCCCTAGGGGACACTTGAGATTCTGGATGGGGGACGATTCACTGTGCAGGCTATGCTCGGAAGAATTTCTTCTCCTCAATGGCAACAGTGGCTCCCCTCATCTCTGTAATTACACAAGAAGAGCTCACAGCTTTTTAAAAACATTCCCGAGGGAGTGGTTGAGACCCACTGAGCTAGAAAATGGGCAGAAGAGACTAGGGCAGGATTTCTAACCACTCAAAGCAACAGCCACCCTCCTCTTGAGTGGCCGGCTGTCCTCTCTGCAGGGCAGGACCAAAAAATATGTGTGCCAAGGAAAATAAAGTTCTCAGCACCAGGGTGAGAGATTTCCCAGACTGCTCTGAAAAGAAGCCGTTTCCTGCCTGCGCCCAGTCTGGGGCTAGTTCGGCTGTCTGGCCTGGAGAACACCATCTCTCTGGGCTACTGTGTGGTCCTGGCTGCTGGCCCAGAGGACGCCCTTCCCAGACCCAGCATGGCCTTTCTGTTCGGAGGCTCTGCACAGACGCCCTCTCAGGAGCCTGCAAATGAGTTCTCAAGGTCCTGTCTCATCTTCATTCTGGCCACTCGTCTCTGGCCTCCCCCAAGTCCTGGCTGCTTTGCCATGCTGAAGTGAGGGGGTGGGAGGATGGAATGCCCCCTGGCAGAGGACTCTGTGGTTCTGTGAAATGGAATATTATTCTGGTGGTATTTCTGGCCACGCTGCAGTGCTAAAGCAGAAAAGGAAACCACCGTCCCGTCCAAATCACAGAGTATTGGTTTCATACATTGGAACGTATCCATCCAAAGGAAGAGATATGAAAACACGCGTAAGAGAGGAGCTAATGACATGACCAGGGGAAAATACGGCAGTTTGAGGAGGGAAAAGCAGAATACAAAATGCATACAACTGTGGTATATGTGTTTAAAAGCTGGAAGAAAACGCATCAGAATAATAGTAATCGCCCCGCGGGCCGTGCATTATCGGCCTCCTTCCTGGTGGTTGTGTTAGTCAGCTTTTGCTCAGATGTTTTACTAGTGTTACCTTTCTAATCATTTACGTTGTCTTTGTAACTGTCCTAAGCAGTTTGAAACTGCTCACTTTCTCCCACAATATCTGCCACTTCCTCCTTTGACACTGTTTCCTCCTTAGTGTCCGTTCCCAGACCCAGGCCCACGTCCCTCGGGACACTCGCTGAAGTCTTCCCTCATCAGTATCCCAACCCCACACTCCCAGGGCCAATCCACTCCTTCGCCTTCCACACCAAGCAGCAAACACTCTCCTCTGGGAAGGACCCGCTCAATCCCATCCCCTAGTCCTTGTGCCTTTGGTGACACGACCTTTTACAGTTTTGGATATGTTTCAGAGATGGTAGCATTCCTGCTCAGATTACCTGAGAATAGGACCTGTCTTCCTGTTCCTTTTATCTCCCAACCTTCTTCTTCCTTTCCTGTCTTCTGCCGAACATGTAGAGATTAGAGCCCAGAACTTTAACACCCCACATGCCATGGTAACATTAACCAAGGTAGCTGAATTAAGGATGCTCTGCTGGGTGCTGGGTCCTTTCAGAGGACAGCTCACATCATTCTTACCCAGCCAAGCAAAGTAGATATGAGGTCCTTAGTTTGGAGACCGGCGAGCTGTGATCTGGGGAAACAGTACAAATCAGAGGTCACCCAGCTATGAAACTGACAGAGCCATTATTTGAACTCAAGCTCCTTAGTCTGTTTCCAAATTCTTCCCCTGTGTTCTGAGATTGAGTCTCAAGGCCCTTCCCTGACCCAACCCCGAGGCATTCTTGTCAGAGCTCAAGGAGCATCCCGGTGCTTCCCATCCAAATTAGTGAGGAGTGGTCTGTGGTGGGGGGCGTATTCAGGTGAGAGTCACATCTTCAAGGACTGTCTTCTGTCCTACACAGCTCGTGCAGTGGAGAAAACTCGAAGGGACAAAAGCTTAAACTTCAGACATGGAGTTAATTACAAGCCACGCCTCAACTTGGCCTTCTCCTGAAGGCTGGAACCCTTGCTGCCGCACTGCCAGGAGGGGGTCCGGGGCTAAGGGAAACCGTTCTTCGGCAAATGCTCGCAACTGCTCCCCATGCCCAGCTCTAGTCCTGTTGTGCGCTCTCAACTGGGCCCGCCTTGGGGCTTTGCGCTGGGAAGAGGAGCCGGCAGAGTGACTGTCACCCCTAGCGTACCTTCCTGGCACACACAGGGAAACCCAGGGTGTGATCAGAAACCTCAGGGAGATGCAGGAGCCACAGGGCAGTTCCGGCCCTCGTGCCACCTTCCCTCCCACCAGATGCTCGGGTCAGGGGCAGCACCGTCTCCATCGCCGGATTTCAGAGTCGAAGCTTCTGTGACTAACTCCTCTGTAAGGGAGGCCTTCGTGGTAAGGAAGCAAACACAGTGTCCCAAAATGCTAGGCTGGCCTACACAACAGAAAGGAAAAAAGCTTGTCTATCCCTCCTGAAGGGCAGGGGAGGCCAGGGCAACAGATTGAGAAAGGAGTCGGTTCTCACAGACAAATGTCATGAATATTTCTATTCCTGGAACTACAAGAGGATCGGGTTTTTAAGATTTCAAAACCAACCCATCTTATGTTTAGTTAAATACACATAACGAAGTCTCGAGCAGGTATGAATAGTGGCGCCAGCCCACAAACCCTACGGGCCATCAGGCATGTGTGCACTTGGACATCGCGTTTGTAAGGTCTGTGCTTGTGCATTTGGCTGCAACAGATTTCTCTCTCCCTGTGTCCAGTTCAAGGAGTGACAGTGAAGGCACCTGGGGGCCTCAGTAAGGCACTGACCTTCGGCTCAGGTCGTGATCCCAGGGTCCTGGGATCGAGTCCTGCATTGGGCTCCCTGCTCAGCGGGAAGCCTGCTTCTCCCTGTCCCTCTGTCCCACTCCTGGCTTTTGTGCACACGCGCTCTGTCAAATAAATACAATTTTTCTTTTAAAAAAGAGAAAGAACTGATCATGATTTTTCACTTATTCAGACCACACCAGCATGCTAGCCAAATACTCAGAGAAAAAAGACACATCACCACATTTTTCTAGTAGAAACCATGGAATGCTGAGAACTCCACTCTGACGTGTGTGTATAGGTATGACATCTGTAAGGACACAATCACATTTCTGCAATTTTTTTTAAGCTTATTCATTCATTTGAGAGAGCATGAGTGGAAGGGGCAGACGGAGGGGGAGACAACTCAAGCAGATTCTTCCCTGAGTCTGGAGCCCCATGCGGGGCTCAACCTCAGGACCCTGAGCTCGAGACGGGAGCCAAAACCAAGAGTCAGTCACTCGACTGTCACTCAGGCACCCTGAAATACATGATTGTTGACATTAGGTGCAGTTAGCAAAGACTGAAGAACTTCACATCTGGTCTTGCCACCAAATGAGTCAGAAACGACATTTTTTATTTTCAGAGCACTGTGGGTTTTGGAATTACAGAATAGGGTGTGTGGAACTGAGTGTACAAACACAAGCAAAGATTTACAAAGGAGGTTTTAGGAGTCAAGTGAACAAATCTGAGGCAACAGACTAGAGATTCTACTCATGGAAAAGCCATAAAAACACCAGCCCGGATCCCTCACGATGGCCCTGTATGGAAAACTGTGACCCTACTGCCGCGTGTGGGGTGGGTCCTGCCCTGTCCAGGGACCCAAATGGACAATCCTAATCTGAGCAGAGAGGAAAGCCTGGGATAGGCGCGAGCAGGTCTAGGTCTAGCGATCTAGAGCAAACCAACACCTGCAGGTTTTAACTCCTCCTTCCCTGTCCCTCTGAAACTCGGAAAGTCAGCATGACTCATACACACCTCCGGATGCTTTCGGCATCTGTGACCCCTCCGTCGGCCCCAAGACACCTTCCCAGTGCGTGACTTACGAGCCACTCACATCATCCGTCTTAACCCTCCCGGCCTCTCCGGGGCGCTCTGCTATGACTATGATGTGTTTTCGGAAGAGGAAGCTGCAGCTCAGAAAGGTGGAAGGACACCCCCAAGGTCACACCATCCGTGCCTACAGCCTGGGGCTGCAGCCTAGACCTCTGCTCCTCCCTCCTGCTCCTGGTGCTCTAGCCATCCCGGCCGACTGCGTCCTTGCGCCTTGCCCACACCTTGCCCACACACTGTGGGAGCAGGCAGCCCGGACCACCCCTGCCGTCTTCTCCCCTCCCGACAGACCCCACCCCACCCAGCCAGGGTCTCTCCCAGCACAGCCTTCACCATCCAAAGCACTCACCTCAGCGGTCATTGCTTTTCAATTCTAGAACCATGTATGTAATACCTGCCTCCTGACCGGGCCTTAAGCTCCGTGGGAGCAGGGACCCTGAGCAGGGTTCTCGTGTCCTCCCCACAGCCACGGCACAGCGCCTGCCACCTGGTCGGAAGCGTCGTGAGAGACCACGCAACAAAAACATCTTCTGACTCAATAATCAGTTTTCACTGCACAGTGCGGGTCATCTCAGCAGTTTCCAAGCCTGAGGACCTCTTGCTGGTCTGCTGTGTGTGCCATTCGCGAGGCCTTCCTGAGATGCCCTGTCGCTCACTCGCTCCAGGATGTGGGTATGAGGCTCAGACAAGCTAGAGTGCTTGGTAAGCCTGAGACACTGACAACTGCTAGTGCTTAAAATTATATTCTGGGAGAGAAGTAGACGGAAGACGAACGATGATCCAGTCCTCCAAGAGAGGAAGGGTCTGTGTGTCAGCGGACGAAGGTAGCAGGCACTCACTGAATGAGTGGTCGACCTACAAAGAGAATCCTGGGGTTTTCCCAATTTCCCAGCCCAGGATGCGCACTTCGCCACATCCTCTGCCAGGTGCAACTCGGAACGCCCCAGTGTGGGAAGCAGAAGCTCAGGGAGGCCGTGAACCTCCTGTCCGAGTGCTACACCCGGACTCTCAGATCTTTTCTATCCGGGCACGGCTTCTGCACCCAAGTCCAAACTGGCCAGCAAGTTCCCCAGAAGCTACCTCTCCGAGATTCACACAACACTGCTTGGCCCCTCTGTACCCCTCGCCTTCCGCATTCTTAGAGTGGGGACGATAGTGTGTCCCTCCTGCTGGGGTCATAGGGACTGACTGACCAGTCAGCATGTGAGAGTCGCTGGCCCACAGAGGCTCTCGGAAACAGGGAGCTGCCGGCAGGCCCCTAACTTCACCCTGGGCGCATCTCAGCTCGGACGCTTCACAGTGGACCCAGAAGAGACGGCCTGGGGGCCCCTCACAGGCTCGGTTGGAGGAACCAGTGATCCTTGATCTCAGGGTCATGAATTTGAGCCCCACGTGGGGGGCAGGGATGACTTAAATATAGTCTCCACTGCGTGGGGGTCTCATAGTTTACCTAATCAGTCCACGTTCAATAGACCGTAAGACGTTTGTAATCTGCAGTTACAAACACACTGCATTGAATCACTTCAGGGGCACCTGGGTGGCTCAGTTGGTTGAGTGTGCCTTCAGCTCAGATCATGATCTCAGGGTCTGGGATCGAGTCCCACCTCAGGCTCCCGGCTCAGCGGGGAGTCTGCTTCTCCCTCTCCTGCTCTCCCTGCTTGTGCTTTCTCTCTCTGACAAATGAATAAATAATTTTTTTTAAAGATTTTATTTATTTATTTGACAGAGAGAGATCACAAGCAGGCAGAGAGGCAGGCAGAGAGAGAGGAGGAAGCAGGCTCCCTGCTGAGCAGAGAGCCCAATGCGGGGCTCGATCCCAGGACCCTGAGATCATGACCCGAGCCGAAGGCAGCGGCTTAACCCACTGAGCCACCCAGGCGCCCCTGAATAAATAATTTTTTTAAAAAAAATCTGTTTGAGGTGCTCCTGGGTGGCTCAGTGGGTTAAGCCTCTGCCTTCGGCTCTGGTCATGATCTCAGGGTCCTGGGATCGAGCCCCGCATTGGGCTCTCTGCTCAGCAGGGAGTCTGCTTCCCCCCTCCTCTCTGCCTGCCTCTCTGCCTACTTGTGATCTATCTCTCTCTGTCAAATAAATAAAAAATAAAATAAAATAAAAAAGTTTAAAAAAAATCTGTTTGAATAACCTTATACATACCTCATTTCCCACGTGTGGAGTCTGCTTCTCCCTCTGCCCCTCCCCACTGCTTGTGCTCACTCATGTGCTCGCGCTGTCTCTCTCTCTCTCTCAAATAAATAAAATCTTTAAAATATGTTCAATTGGGGCGCCTGGGTGGCTCAGTGGGTTAAAACCTCTGCCTTCGGTTCAGGTCATGATCCCAGGGTCCTGAGATCAAGCCCCGCATCGGGCTCTCTGCTCAGCGGGGAGCCTGCTTCCTCCTCTCTCTCTGCCTGTCCCTCTGCCTGCTTGTGATCTCTGTCAAATAAATAAAAAAAATCTTTTAAAAAATTTTTTAAAAAATAAAATATGTTCAATTAATAACAGAAATGAATTGTGCATAAATTTAGCTTTGTTGCTAAAAATCACATCTCCAAACAGAGTTCAAGCTGGGGCAAGAAATAAGAAGGTATAGAAACCACAACAAAAGATAAAGAAATGGTAGAGGAAGGCTAGGGAACCACTAGGTCGTGGTTCCCGACGAAACACCAGGAATAAAGCAAGCCTGTGCCCCTCCGCCCCGCCCAGCTCGCATGCCTGGCAGAGGGCCCGTCTGCACCTGCAGCCCGGGCTGCTGGGTCTGGCCCACCTCGGGCTCCTCTCAGCTCCGCGGGCCTCAGTATCCTCCTCCCAGTACAACTATTGGATCCACTTATTGATTGCACGTTACTGTAAGGGACAGGGACAACCATGGAAAGCCGTTTTGAGGACGTTAAAAACCACATGAGGGCAAAACAGTATTTCCTCCCCCGACTGGCACTTGATTCAGGATGTTACACAGCAGAGGGTCCTCGAACAAGACTTCATCGGTGGGTCAACAGGCCAGTAAGTGTAAGTCGTGGGCAAACTTCAGGGACGGCCCCTGCGCGGTCTCACCTGCCACTGATCTTCAGGCAGGTCGGGGGACCCTGCGCCGGCCATGGTCCCTCGTCGGAGCAGTAAGTCAGTGTAACCAGTAGATGGCGCCAGTGACCAGGCAAGCCTTCGGTCCCGTCCAAAATCGAGCATTTCCCCTAAGAAGCAGGTCCTGCTGGTATGTTTCGTAACTCAAAAAAAAAAAAAAAAAAATTACAAAGACCATTTTTAAAAAGTAGAACCATAGCAACCCAAAGCTATTGCGTCCACATCCCCCTCACCCCACCCCCAGACACACACACGTCCACATTCAATTCCACACTCACCAGTCCCCATCAGCTCTTACTGGCTTCTTAAGAAGCCGGATCCCGGTGGAGGAAATGACAGTAGCTGGCTAACTGAGCTGCTTAGGCTTGTGGGGTGCCAGCAAGTCAGTAACTGAATCAACAGATTCAAGAAGCATATTAAAAATCTTACAAACATATTAACATAATTGCCCGCCCCCAACACACAGACACACTGAGTAGTTTTTCTGGGGTAAAACCATAAGTACGTTTGCCTTCTTTATGGGGTAACTTAGTAAGACCATTTCCCCTGCTGCTGAGAATCAGCCGCAAATGGGAACCAAGTCCCTGGTCGGTCAAAATAGCTGTCAAACGGTTCGTTCAAACCAATAATACATTATATGTTAATTAACTGAATTTACATTTTTAAATAGGGAAAAAGGAAAACAAATACACAAAAATAAACATTTTTCAGGTTTAGAAACTAAACATTCCACATTTCTTTGAAAATAAAGTTATTACTATGTTCAAAAGAAGGTTCAACGAAAGGACTCAGTTTAGTTCAATTTGATTTGGCTCAAGTTTTTATTTTTATTTTTTTAAAGATGTACTCATTTATTTGAGAGAGAAGGGGTGGAGAGGAGCAGAGGGAGAAAGAGAGAGAGAGAGAATCTCGGAACAAATCCCCACTCAGGGCAGAGCCCAACACGGGACTGATTTCAGGACCCCGAGACCAGGACCTGAACCGAAATGAAGAGTCAGAGGTGCCCCTGGCTTGGTTCAGGTTTTAAAATGTGGACTTCAGCTTCCTAATTTGCACTCAAAGGATCCCCAAGTGGTCGCCAGGCTTGTTCACTGTCCCCATGTACACCCTGGCCTAGAGGCAGACCTGTGTCCTTTGGGGAGCAGGAGTGTGGATGGTGCACAGGACTGACACTTTTCCTGGATCTATGAGTCCAGCTAGTAACAGGGAGAGAAGGGAGCCGGGAGTGGAGGGAGGGGACACTGGCCCCAGTGATCTACCTTTGTGTCTGGCCCTGAAAAGCAGCAAAGCCACTCCCTGTCCATTCAAGACAGCCACCCCCCACCCCAGGCCAGCCTGGACCCTGAAGGGCCTCATCATCACACAAGCCCTTGATCCAGAGTTCAAAACCACTGATGTCTGAGTCAGCAGATTGGCGTGATCTAGATCAAGTTCAAGTGTAAGTACTGACCTCTGAGGCTAGAGTGCAGGAAGCTGCCCACACCCTGACTGGGAGGAGCGCACAGAGGCTGGGGTGCACTCCGCCCCTGGCTCCTCCAGCACACTTCCTCTATTACGTACCCGCCTAGGAGACAAAGTCCTGCTCCCCGGCCCCACTTTTTGTGCACAGCGGCCGCTGGGATGGTCCCAAAGGGTGCAGAGGCAGGACGGGCACGGCCGAGCACCACGTGCCCCGGGTCTCCGTTACTGCGCACGTCAAGCCCACGGGGTGGGGGTGGGGAGACAGACCCCAGGCCACAGTTAGCGAAACCGAGGCTGGAATTTGCATCCGACGCTCAGGTGCAAGCTTCTATGCACCGTCCAGGTGTGGACGCAGGGTCGTCCAGGTGCCGGACCGGGACTCCCGGGCCAGAGCTGCAAGAGGACGACGGTCCCCCACGCAGTGTTCTCTGCTGGGAAAGACTGTAACTGCCAGGCAGCGACAGGACAGGCAGAAGGACCGCTGCCCGGTTCCAAAATGTTCCACAGCGTCGCGCAGTCCCGTGGAGACCGGCGGGCCCCGGGTTAGGGGGTGCTGCCCGGTGGGTGCGCGGCGTCCTGGCCGAGAGGCGGCGGGGAGACCGGGAGGGGGTGCCGACCTGGACCGGACCCCGCGCGGCTCTCACCTGCGGATGCGCCGCTTCTCCTCCGCCCCCAGAGGCTCGGCAGCCGGTTCTTAGCCGGGGGACTTAACGTCACCGTTGCCTGGCAAACCCCGGGCGCGCTGCGGCCTCCGCCTGCGGATGCTGCCGCCTCTTCTCCGCCCGGGAGGCTCCGGCAGCCAGTTCTCGGCGGCGCAGTCATGACGTCACTGTTGCCGGGTAAACAGTGGGTGCGGATGCTGCCGCCTCTTCTCCGCCCCCGGAGGCTCAGGCAGCCAATTCTCGGCGGCGCAGTCATGACGTCACTGTTGCCGGGTAAACAGTGGGTGCTGATGCTGCCGCCTCTTCTCCGCCCCCGGAGGCTCCGGCAGCCAATTCTCGGGGGCGGAGTCATGACGTCACTGTTGCCGGGCGAACCCGGGCGCGCTGGGGCCTCCACCTGTGGATCCTGCCGGCTTGTGCGCGAGCAGCGAAGACGAAAAGGAGGCGAACTGGACCGGGGGAGAAAGATGGGGAGACGAATTCTATTCCTGCAGGCTCGTACAGCTGGGAATAGGGGTTACCTGGCCTAACGTCCTGATGGGCGTCGGCCTGACGGTCCAGCAACCGGAAGGATGGGAGGCCCGGCGGGTGTGTGGGTCTGCACGGGCCTCCCGGGGCCTGCACCTGACCGCTCTGCCCCACCGGGACCTACAGAACCGCTCGCTGCCGCTTCCGCGGAGCAACCCATTTCGCCGAAGTGCCTGGCTCACCTTAGAACAAGGTGGATGCTTTTTTTTGTAAAAGAGGAAAATACAGTTGAATTTCAGAATAGTAACAGGGAAGACCCGAAACTGGGGGAAATGTTGACAGGTACGATGTAAGCCTTCGGCGGAACACTGTTGCTCCTCTTCCTTTGCCCTGTGGGTGTCTCTTAGGTAAACCCAGCAGTGTGCACAAAGGCCCCTGACCACTGCAACACGCAAGCTCCCAGCTCGTCACCTGCGACGGGTTGATTCGGGCCCGCCCACCTATGGAACACCTGGTCAAACGGATGGAGATCAGACCCCGTACAGCCCCTCAGTCACTGGGCCTCCAGGACTGTCCAGACCAACTTAAACACACATGCTACAGAAATAGAGCCACGAAAATGGAAAGTGGAAAAGTCAAATTCCTCTTGATAGTTAAACCGCAAGAGGCAGTCCCAGAAGAAAAATCAGGGTGGGGGGGGGGGCGTGAACACAGCCCCGAGTGTTCGCTGTGCAGGATCACAGCTCACGGGGAGCCACGCCTCTGACTCTCGGCACTGGAACAAAGGGTACACCTTGGTGCACGGCAATTCATCGGGACTTACTAATATGACAGATGCACATGCTCCTGGGACTAGCTACTCCCCTCATGTGGAAAGCAGTGAACCTCCTGGGCACTGGGCCAGGACAGACACCGCCCTCTGCTTAGGACGGGGAGGAGCCAGGCACTGTGGTGCTGTGGTGTCGGGCTTCTCATGCTGTGTTGTCACCTTGAAATTCTCAGCCATCTCACCTTCCAGTGTGTGCTTTGTAAGTGAGTCTGGAGAGACTGCCCCAGCGCCTCGGAGCCCAGGCTCAAGCTTGGTCTCGCTGGTCAAGCTTCCCCCATCTGCGGGACTGATTTTCAGCTGCCTCCCACTGCCCCCAGGAGAGGCCGCCCCCCTCTGCACTGTGTTTTCCCAGGAGGGGACAGGGCAGAGGGAAAGGAAGGGTCAGGCATGCACCCCTGTCTAGACAAGCCGGGGTCAAGTATCGGTGTCCCTGAAGGAATGTGACATTAAATAGCAAAAACGAGAACGTGCCACCAAGACAGGGCACGAGTGAACCCACACAAGAAAGGAAAGGCTTCTTTCATGCTGTTTGGACGAGGGGCCTCAGAGTTTCACCTAGTACCAGGCGCCTCACATTGTATAACCGACCCGAGCAGACCAATACTCATTAGCAAATTATATGGAAGAGCAAAAGGTTGAAAATGGTGGCCTGACACTCTGTGACTTGTGCCCTTAGGCGACACATAACTAGAATATCTCTCTTCCGGCTCGGGTCATGATCTCAGGGTGCTGCTATCAAGCCCCCCCATCAGGCAGGAGGGCCCCCCCACCCACTCCCTGCTGGGGGGTGTCTGCTTCTCTCTCTCTCCCTCCACTCCTGCCCCCCACCCCACTTCTGCTCTTTCTCCCTCTCAAATAAATAGATAAAATCTTTTTTTAAGAAAGTATATAACTGGGGCGCCTGGGTGGCTCAGTGGGTTAAAGCCTCTGCCTTCGGCTCAGGTCATGATCTCGGGGTCCTGGGATCGAGCCCCGCATCGGGCTCTCTGCTCAGCGGGGAGCCTGCTTCCTCCTCTCTCTCTGCCTGTCTCTCTACCTACTTGTGATCTCTGTCAAATGAATAAATAAAAAAAAAAAAAGAAAGTATATAACTGCAATGTAATTGGAATATAATTTACATGAAGGCAAGAACCTATACGTGTTCCTGAAACTTTAATTATCAAAGTCTAATACAAAGCTTAACACATAAGATTTCTTTGAAATATGTATTCATTTAAATTAATTAAATACATTTTCATTTAAGCCGGTAAAACAGACACTTAAAAAATGGAAACAACCTAAATGTTCTTGGAAACCAGTTAAGTAAGTTTGATACATTCATGTAATAAAATACTGTGTCGCTGTATAAAATAATGAGGATGTCCATTAGGTACTAATACGGAACGGTCTCTAAGATGAATTATTACCATTTATGGGGCACCTGGCTGCCGCAGTGGGTCAAGCAGGTGCTGTTGATCTCGGGGTTGTGAGTTCAAGCCCCATGTGGGGTGTAGGGCTTACTTTAAAAGGAAAAATTATTACCATTTGTGTTTTTAAAACTGCAAGGTGAGGGGAATGATTTCTCCTGGAGCCTCCTCTAGTGGCCAATACGTGGAAAGATTCAGAGAAAGAAGGAGCTGGATGGCTGGGAGGGAGGTTTTCAAGGGACATTATTTTATGCCTTTTAGATTTTGAAACAAAGCATATGAATAACCACAAAAATTAATTTTTTGGAAGTGCAAGGGAGCTACATTATGTGTTACTGTGGAAAGACGCCTTGTTAAGTGGACACAAGAAGCGGAACAGGGTGTGTGTCTCCTTGGTGTGAGATGAGAGCCGTAGGCAGTGTCCGGAGGGCTCACACGGTACTCTGACCGCGTAACCCCCCGAGTGGCTGTCTCTTCCTGCGTGCTTCCTACCAGCACAAGGACAGCAGGTCAGGAGCCCACGGTCGCTGTGTACAGCATCCCGTTCCACCTGCATGACTGGGGGCCTGGGCTGCCATCAACCGTGGTGGGTGAGAGGTGCAGATAAAACAGAGATGACCGAGGAGAGAAGTGCACACAAGAACAACCCAAGAAGGCCTGTGCGATCACGTCGCCTGCTGCACAAAGTCAGGTAAAGCCACACTCAAGCCCTGAGGGAAATGCCCAGCTCTGAACAACGCAGGGCAGCTTCACCCCATCTGCTCATCTCCCTCCTCTCCACACCTGCAAAAACCAACGCTCCAGCACCCAGAATTCTGTAAATGGTGATGTCACTGGCTTCTTTTACCTGGTGGCCCCCTCCTCTTGTTCACATCGCCTTTGTGCGGAGACCACGTCATCCCTGGGACAGCTCCTCCAGCTCCAGGGGCCACCCGCTTTCCAGAGACCTGAGGCAGGGGAGGACCCGAAGGTGAGTGTGGTGCGAGACTGGTGTGGTCCCCACAGGTGGCCACAGGTGCCAGACTGGGGAGGGAAAACCTGCTCAAATTCCATCCCTGTCGCTCTGTGGTGGTGTGACCTGCGGCACGTGACTTCATTCGTGTCCTGCTGTTTCCTCATCTGTAACATAAGAATGGAAATATTTTAACATTGGTTTCACTGTTGTAGGATTAAATGAATAAATACAAGCAAATCGCTTAGGACGGCACCACAGGGAAGCAACCAGTAAGGTGTTTCTTTGGTGTTTGTTTTCAGAGACACTGTGAGTTCTCCAAAGTGGCTTTGATTGGCTAACTTCTTTTTTTTTAATATTTTATTTATTTACTCAACAGAGGGAGAGAGAACAAGCAGGGGGAGCAGCAGGCAGAAGCAGAGGGAGAAGCAGGCTCCTCACTGAGCAGAGAGCCCAATGCGGAGCTCAATCCCAGGACCCTGAGATCATGACCTGAAACAAAGGCAGAGGTTTAACTGACTGAGTGCCCCAGGTGCCCCCAATCGGCCAGCTCTTGGCCCTCTGTTCTCCCAGCCCTGCACCCCACCTGTCTCCCATCCAGCTTTGACAACTGGATGACAACTGGACGACTTCCAGCCCTGCCCAGGGAAGTATCTTGCCTCTGGGGAGACACTCAGGCAAACATAGAGCCTGCCCTCCCACCTGATTGACCCCTCCAGACCTTGGCGGTCACCCTCACGGCTCCAGAGTGGCCAGCCTGCATGTGCCCAACTCCAGCCGCCTTGCTGGAAGGAGGGACAAGCCATTCCAGGCTCAGCTGACCAGTCTGTTCTCCCAGCTCCTTGGGCTCATCTCAGACAAAAACAGAAAATGTACACCCCAGGGGAGTTCCTGGCCCTTGAACAGTGCCGCCCAGTGTAGGTTCTTGCGATGACGACAATGGCCCCTGTGTGTGCCGTCCCGTATGTTAACCGCTAGCTGCGTGTGCTGCTGAGCATTTGAAACACGGCTGGTGATCAAGGAACTGAACTTCAAATTTTATTTAATTTTAATCTGAACAACCACTAGTGATGGTTGTGTTGGATGACACGGTTTTAAACTGTCCATCCTGACCCTTTTTTCTTACTTGTGAGTCAGCCTTACTTTAACATTGGCAAATGCGGGGGCACCTGGCTGGCTCAGTGGGTTGAGCCTCTGCCTTCAGGTCAGGTCATGATCCCACAGTCCTGGGATCGAGCCCCGCATCAGGTTGTCTGCTCAGTGGGGAGCCTGCTTCCTCCTCTCTCTCTGCCTGCCTCTCTGACTACTTGTGATCTCTGTCAAATAAATAAATAAAATCTTAAAAAAAAAAAAAAGATTGGCAAATGCACTTTTCAAATTTGG